GCAAATGAGGAAGGAAGAAAGGAATATTATTTCATGTTCGCGCTGCGTAGAGTTGTCAAATATTATAATAGCAAGATTTTCGTTTGATCACTTAAAGCAGTCAACACTTGAGCAAAGGGGGAAGAGCTGTCAAAAACAACCAATTTGTACCCATAATGCTTTGCAACCCGCTGCTTATCATTCTCTTAGAAAATTTTGAATATTTGTTTCATCAAAACATTTCAACTTTTCTTATTTTTAACGTTTCTAAATTTGTTTACCTTGTCAAACTTTTTATAATATTTTTATTTTTGATTCAGAGGATACGATATTGGTAATCATTTCAGTGAATGGATACTTGATTATAATCATCCACATTATCCCTTTTTACTGAGAAGTCACAAATATCCTTCTTATGCTCAAAAGGTAATTCACTAATAGAAGTATTAGTTTAAGAAACGGTAAAACAATTTTATGGTTAAAAATAACCCCAAATTATACTTCATATGGAAAGGATGATCTGCTGTTTATAATGTAGTCTACTATCGCCGTATAGGTTTTTCTTTAATTTTTTATTCCGTATAGTTTTCCCTCGTTGTTTTGCTTTTTCGTATATATGTTTTTCCCTCGTTGTTTTGCCGTATATATGTTTTTCCTCAGTGTTTTGCTGTATATGTTTTTCCCCGTTGTTTTGCTGTATATATATTTTTCCTCGTTGTTTTGCCGTATGTATGTTTTTCCTTGTTGTTTTGCCGTATATGTTTTTCCCTCGTTGTTTTGTTGTATATATGTTTTTCCCCGTTGTTTTGCTGTATATATGTTTTTCCCTCGAAGAGTCGGTTGTGGGAGAGCGATCATGTTATTTTATTGGGGAGAGAGAAATTTTTTCCCTCGAGAGTTTTATCGGAGAGAAATTTTTCCCTCTGTTCTTTGTTTATGTTTTTTCCCCTGAGCCTTTTCAGAGAAAGCCCCTCGAGGTTTTCTTTGTCAGGAGACAGTTTTTCTCCCTGGTGTTTTGTCAGGAGCAGTTCTCCCCTCGAGTTTTGTCAGAGCTTTTCCCTCAGGAAAATTATTGTATATACATCTTTCTCCCCTTGAGGTTTTATTTTCATATATACTATTTCCCTCGTTGTGCCTTATTGTATATATGTTTTTCCTCGGTTTTATTTCAGATATATTGTTTTTCCCTCGAGGTTTTGTCAGTATATAGGTTTTTCCTCATTGTTTTGTTTATTATTGTTTTTCTCCCTCTGAGAGCCTTTGTTTGCATATATGTTTCTTCTCGAGAGCCAAGATTTTCCTGAGAGTTTTATTATTAGTAGATTTTCCTCGAGGAGCTTTGTTGGGATAGAGAAAGTTTTTCTCCTCGAGAGCTTTTATGTTAGAGAGGATTTTCCCTCGAGAGATTTTATTAGGAGATAGAGCTTTTTCCCTTTGTTGTTTTTTGTTTTTTTTGGAGAGAGGATTTTCCCTTTGTTTTTTTCAGGGAGAGAAATTTTTCCCTTGAGAGCTTGCCAGGATAGAGTTTTTCCCTTGTTGTTTTGCTGGGAGCATGATCTTTCCCTGAGAGTTTTATTAGATAGGATTTTCCCTTGAGAGCCGAGTTGAGAGAGTTTTTCCCTTGAGAGCCAGAGCCATAGGAGAGCTTTTTCCCTGTTGTTTTATTACAGAGAGTGATTTCTCCCTCGAGGTTTTATTAGGAGAGATAGTTTTTCTCCCTGTTTTGTTGTAGAACAAAGTTTTTTCCCTGAAAGAGTTTTGTCAGAGGATTTTTTCCCTGGTGGTTTTGTTGTATATGTTTTTCCCCTCAAGTTTTGTTGTGATAAAGTTTTTTCCCCTGTTGTTTAAGCCAGAGCATATGATCTTCCCTCGAGTTTTATTGTGAGCATATGATTTTCCCTCGGTGTTTTGTTGTACATATATGATTTTCTCCTCGGTGTTTTGTTGCATATATGTTTTTCCCCTCGGTGGTTTGCATATATGTTTTTCCCCTCGGTGTTTTGCTGCATATATAGCCCCTCGTTGTTTTGTTGTAGCATATGTTTTTCTCCCTCGAAAGTTTTGGTTGTAAGAGCATGGATTTTCCCTCGGTGTTTTGCTTGTATATATGGATTTTCCCTCGGTGTTTTGTCATATATGTTTTTCCCCCGGTTTTATTGTATATATGATTTTCCCCTGGTGTTTTGTTGTATATATGTTTTTCCCTCGGTGTTTTGCCATATATATGTTTTTTTCCCTCGGTTTTTGTATATATGTTTTTCCCTCGGTTTTGCCGTATATATGTTTTTCCCTCGGTGTTTTGTTGTCGTATATATGATTTTTCCCTCGGTGTTTTGCCGTATATGTTTTTCCCTCGGTGTTTTGTTGTATATATGATTTTCCCTCGGTGTTTTGCTGTATATGATTTTTCCTCGGTGTTTTGCGTATATATGATTTTCCCTCGGTGTTTTGCCGTATATATGTTTTCCCTGGTTGTTTTGTATATATGATTTTCCTCGGTGTTTTGCCGTATATATGATTTTCCCTCGGTGTTTTGCCGTATATATGATTTTTCCTCGGTGTTTTGCCGTATATATGTTTTTCCTCGGTGTTTTGCCGTATATATGTTTTTCCCTCGGTGTTTTGCCGTATATATGTTTTTCCCTCGGTGTTTTGCCGTATATATGATTTTCCTCGGTGTTTTGCCGTATATGATTTTTCCTCGGTGTTTTGCCGTATATATGTTTTTCCCTCGGTGTTTTGCCGTATATATGATTTTCCCTCGGTGTTTTGCCGTATATATGATTTTCCCTCGGTGTTTTGCCGTATATATGGTTTCCCTCGGTGTTTTGCCGTATATATGTTTTTCCCTCGGTGTTTTGCTGCCGGAGGTATTATGTATTCCAGGGCGAAAATCACGCAAATATTTGTGTTTTTAACAATCATATAAAAATTTGCCCAAAAGCTGCTTTGTTATCGGGTCGAAATCGTCCCTAAGGTTTGCTTTTTTTATATCACCTAAACTCTTCGATATTTCAGGTATTTTTCGTCCGTACGTATTTACAAGCTTATAATGAAACGAATGAAATCACGTTAGACGAGATTGAAAAAGTTATTGACAAAGCTGACAGGTAAATTTTATAACAATCGTCCTCTTATATTAATATACCGCAAGATAATTTTTTAAAATTCATTTTTAGGTTTCCATGACGTAGTTCTCGTTTATTCAAGGTTCAGTTAAGTCAGTTTAGGGTTTACTGACATCATTTAGGGCTTGTCAAGTTATAACTGATGCAATTAATACACAACTTTTGAAAGCATTTCTCTTTTATCACATCGCCTATTCGTGCATTTATTTAGCCATTGTACGCAAGTGCTTACATATTGGTATCGGTTTTGTCTTTCTGCGAATAAATGTTTTAATTTTACTCATGTTTTAAAACATTCCTGAAACATCATTCAGCTTTGTTTTCTTTTTCTTCTATAGATTGTCTCTTCTTTCTCATTTCTTTTGGGCAATGTTTTCAATTCTTCAAAGTTATAAATCCTCGATCAATTTTGGTTATCTCGTAAGTAGATGAATATTTAAATAGTGTTGTTTGCCGTTAGATTTACATCACGTGACTTAATTTGTCTTTTTCGTTGTTGTATTGTCGTACCGTGGTATTGTATCCTAAACACTATTTGCTATTTTTAAAATACCATATCTTATAAGGAACATTCTACATCGAACAATCTTAGAAATGTGCACCACCACTTCATCAACTTTTTGCATATAGTGTGCGTTATTTCTTTACAAACATTTCTGTAAATGCATGGTCTTTTGCTCTAAGTTCTCTCCATCTGGATTTGTTTAGAACAGATGTTAGTCAACAATAATGTCTTATGCGTATGTATCAAACTTGTACATAATGAGCACTATCATTGTGAACAAACGTAAAAGCAACGTAACACTTTGCGAAGATTTCTTATAAGTTTACAAGAAGGATTTTGTGTTTAAATTTTATAGAATCAAATCACTATAAAGTAAATCCCATCCGCAGTAGTAACCATGGTAAGGAACTTGAGTGTGTTTTATTAATCTGTCATATAAGATATTAAGAAGCGTCAGAAAATATCTGGAGAAATATTTACGTGCAAACCTCCACCTATATAGGAAATGTTAGGCAAATATTACATTTACTGCATTATGAGAAATTTCAGTACCTTTCATAAAACCAAATTGTTTATGACGATTTTTAAAATTATTTGTTGGCTCTAATATTTATATTGAGAATCCGCTTCCCGCCTGGCACTTCATTGGCAACAATACCTTTAACAAAAATATATGTATGCTAATACTTCAAACTAGAAATAGGTTTTGGTCACAGATTTGGATACGACATTTTATGCGCACAATTTGAGAGTACTGCAGTAGCCTGCCCTTCCAAGTAAAAGTAGATAGAAATACTCACTCACTTTAACTTTTTCAAATGTAGTTCTTGTCTCATCAGCTGCTTTTGTATTGTTTCATGTTTCTCCTTTGCCGTTGTATTCATTCCCTGATCGTAATAAGACTTCAAGATAGCTTTTGCAAGTCAATTAATACTTCATACTGTATTCCAGTTGCCGCCATATTGATAAGGTACACGTGTCGTGTGCATGTCGTGTGTTGATGATATATGGATTGATGCATATATAAATCAAATATGGCGTCAAGAAGAACGCTTAGAGGATCTCCTACATCACACACATGCGACGTTCTCAATTTGAGAAGTCTTGCTTCAGACGAGTGAGAACATGCGACACGGGTGATGATTTGAATTTTTTTCAAAACCGGCTTTTAATGACAAACTGTTATTTGTAAATAGACGTCTTACCTACAGATATCTAGAATTATTTGCAGGTAGTTTACCAATCAAAAGTGATATTGCTTACATATTAAATAATGATGTAGGATAATTGCATGAAATGCATGATACACCAAGATTGCGTGGAACGTGTCGAAAAGATAGAATTAGCTACTTACAGCGCAGCATATCATTAAAGAAATGAGTGAGACGTAACATTAGAATCATATAATTACCTAAATCAGCTCTAATTTTTAGGGAAAATATTATTTCACCATAGCATTTTTAACAATTTTTCAATGCTTTTTTAAATGATAATGATTATTAAGGTTCTTTTTGAAGACATAAAAGCTAAAATGTTTTTATTATATGTTGAAAGTTTCATTAGAAATAATGATCAAATTTATAACATCACAGTCTTTGGAAATTCTTTATGGTTTTATTTTCATCTCAGTGAACTTTAAGGATTTATTAACTTTCCATCGTTGCCAAGTCACACCTTTGGAATGGTTTTGGTTGCCACTATAGTAGTGTCCATTCAGGTTGGAAATATAACAACTCTTATACCACCAAGCACCATTGAAGGTTGTGGCACAATTTCCAAAACGATTGTTATCATTATCTGAATCTTTTGTTGAAAACGCCATGCTTTTATGATAAGATAATGAATCTCCAGCATTTCCTAAGAAAAGTAATACCTTTCAAAAATCGCATTTAATACAGTTATAGAATTCTTTTGAACTTGCATTAACACAAGAACAATTTTAATGTATATATCATTTAGGCACTGACACTTGCTTTTACAATTGATTACCTGAGGCTTACTATAATAAGGACTTCGTCAATCTACAATTTAGTCGTGTTTAATTGCCTACATGATATTCAGGCGCGAGCTTGTCATTGGCCGTTTTTATACGAGACACGCATAATGCGTCTGAACGAACTTGGGCAAGAAATTTTTTTCGTCTGGTTATGCGTCTTCAGTGTAAAGACGAGCACAAGACGCTTTATACGTCTAGATGAGTAATCAATGATTATTCATCTTTGTAGACGAAGAATCGAACGTATCCAAATCGTTTTAATTTAATGTTAATATAATCTTTATCCTATTTACCCTTTGAACTTTGTGCTTTGATTGTTTTTATTTGCCTATTGACTTACCAGAATATTTACCAATGCTTAATTGATATTTTTTATTTTCATTCTTTACAGCAAAATAATCATATTCAGCATATTTTTTGTTTCCTGACCAGTCTCCCAGGTCTACACGAAGTTTATTTCTTCTTGCAGATGTTAGTCGGTATATTTTATCCAATCCAAGCCAGAATTCAGAAGTAAGATCGCCAAAACCTTGTTTATAGTCTTTCCAACCTCGATAAAAGTTTACACTTCCATCTTGACGTCGTTGAAACACAGTCCAACCTCCACCAGATGTTTTCATATCACAGAAAACCTTAAAGTGACCCTGACCATCAGGATTAATTTGATAAACTCCGTTCTTTTTTGCACCTTTTTTGTAAAGATCTGCGCAGTCTTTCCCTGGTAATGTAAAAAAGAGTTCTGCCATGAAATAATATGTTGTTAAATGTCACTCTTGTTATCTCAAAATCATTCTTACCTCTTAGTGATTTTCCTGTGAGTTTTTTATTTTCTTTGTAAAGAGTTTTCAGTTGTTTTTCTAGTTTTTTTAGCTGTGCTTGAATTGTTGCTACTTTCACATCGATTGTTTTCATTTGTAATGACAAATTAATCATTTTAACTTCAATGTTCTTAATTTGTTTTTGCAATTTTACTAATTTGTACGTTTGTACATGTGTCTTGTTGATTTTGGAATGAAGCGCAATCTTAAATGCTTGAAGGTGCTTTTTTTGTGTTTGTAGATTTTTGTGATATTTTTTCAGTGTCTTTATTTGCCCTTTTATTAATGCAATTTGAGTCTTTAATGTTACATTTCTTTGAACAACTTTCAAAGTGCGTTTCATGTCAAAGTTGAGCGATGAAAAATTATCTTTGAAATTAATTTCTTTTTCACTTGTTAAATTCGCTCTATGGAAATAATGAAGGAAATGAGATCAATACATTCACTTTGTTTATTACTATATCCATTACGACATAATATTCCTCCAATCATTGATTTAATATAGCCAAAAAATGAAATTGTTTTAAAACAAACTCGAAAATAGATTGATGACTTAACATAGTGCAGCTAACTGAAAACGGCTTGATGTTTATTTACTCGTTAAGATTCGCCGTAAAACCTCATAGACACATTGACGGCGTTCAACAAAAGTTATTCAAAAATCACAAAATTGAACTTTAAATATGATGACTTACCCTTCAATAATAACACCAATATAAAAAATTACGACCAACGCAAAAGTATATTTCGCCATTTTGTGATATGTGATTGATATCCACAAGCTTGGAATGAGGACAAGATCATGAAAGCTCTTTTTATGTACATGGGTCGACTGTATTTCAATAATTTATTGCCAACTATCGATGATGCATGCACGTAAATTCATGTTAAGTATTCATGAAGAATAAGATGGTTTCAGCTGATAATAAAAGAGTTTAATTATTTGAGATTTAGACAGTAGTCTTTTTATGCTCGAAGTTTCGTTCAATGAATTTGCACTATTTCAAGTTCTGCTTGACTATGCGAAGTTTAAATGACGAATTTTGCGCCACCATTTTATTGTATATAGTCAAACCTTGATGTAAATCAACTAGCACGAAAAAATTTCTGTTGTCTTTAGTATGAAAATCAATTTTACTATTTATAAGGAACAACAGACACAACAGTTTGTCTACAAATTTAAACTGAAAATATTGCATTGTATGTGTCAAATTTGTAGTTGATTACACATCCTGTTGTTTACTTATTTCATATTTTGTTGTATAAACATAACAAATTTACAAATTATATACATTTCTATGCCTAAAATTCAACCCAACTGTATTCTTGTCTACAAGTGATATGTATTCTTGTTTTCACATTCAGTCTCAGCACTCAATTGAATTAAGTAATTTATTCATACACGACTTACAAAGAAACCTTTAAAACGTGGCACTCGATACGGATCATTTTCAAATATAGCTATATTTTGTGTACATATTTTTGATGCAGTAAAATTTATTACAAGCTCTATTTCGCCGTTGAACATTCTTAAAACAATTTATGTCGCAGCTATATTGAACGAAACTGGCAACAATCCCCCCCGGCTGTCTCCAGTATAAAAATTATATAAATATAACTCTATTATTTCAAACAGCAATTTTATTGTTAATATCAAGTTTACACGTACATTGAAGGAAATTGTTGTGTCATAACGAACAACACATGCAATTATGTACATATTAACGTTATCAACATGAATTTTTGAATCTTCTACTTTAAAATTATGAATGTATAGGACATTTTTTTTTGAACGTGGTCCAAAATGAGAAAAATGTTTTAGTTACCGTTCGTATCACCAGCATGCTCATGTAATCCTGCTGTTAATATTTCTGTGTTTATACTCATGGCAAAAACAATGAATTTGTATAGACATGAATAAGGATGATGAGAAGCTGGACTAAAACTTGAGAACTAACAAACTAAACATCACTTGAAACATAGCTACCATCAAGGTATGTAGAAGCTATAAGCCTCTACCTCTCAAATTGAGCGCAATTATCCATTTCTAAATGTAGCTTGTGTTGATGTGCTTATTTTTGGTTTCAGCAAGCTATTGAAATTGATAATTAATTCATGCTTCATTTTCAAAGGAACTGTAATAGACACAAACGTGGCATTTACAAATATATAAGTTATAATGATATTAGTTGAAGTAATTTCATTTGTTGTATATTTCTTAAAATGATTATTTTTTCACTTGTCTACAACATGTTTTTTTATTGTGTATGTACGCTCATGCCTTATTAAAAACGTGATCACTTAGAGAACCTCACATCGATGATGTAACTTGAATTAGTTGAATATGCTCGTATTATATCAATTCTCTTGGCCTTTGTAAGCAACACCACAGTTTTACAAGACGTTTAATAAGAACATGTATTTTCAAAGTGATTGACAAATCATTCCTCTTTAAAACTGAGATATTTTCCTCAGCTGCATGATGTTACGTTCTGGCAGAATCTTCTACACTAGTCCCACTGATATACACAACGTTTCTGTAGATTGCAGAGCGAGCATGATGGGTACATTGGCTGGGTACTGCAATATAAAATTAATACGCATGCGCATCATTGCTTTTCTTTTTGGCGCGCTTTCGTCATATTGAGCGACGCTTAAGATTTTTGCTCCAAATTACTCTTTTCATTCCTAACGATTCGGAGATGACTTTAATCTACCAAGACAACGATTTTCTGAGAAAAAAAATGAATAATCTGAGTCCGATGACCCAAATGAGCAATCGTTGCTGTTAAGTTCTCTACGCAAGACACGTCCACAAATGTCAGTATAGAAACCAATCAGGCACGACCAGACACCGACATATCGAACCCTGGGTCAAAAGAAAATCTTCTATAGGACGTACATTATGAAGAACGTTCTACACATGTAATTACCAATTTTTATGAAAACTATTCTTAGGTCCTTCAAATTATAACCTTGTTTTGTTCCTTACGAGGAGATAGATGTAACGATATAAGTTATCGGGCCTTTTGACCGGATGTACTGTATTGGGCCGAGAATTCTAGCGCCTTCTTAATTGAAGGCATCGTTGTAGCTCATACTTTTATCAATAGAGTGGAGATTATGAATGAGTTGATTACACATCCTGTTGTTTACTTATTTGATATTTTGTTTACTTATTTCATATTTTGTTGTATAAACAAAACAAATTTACAAATTATATAAATTTCTATGCCTAAAACTCAACCCAACTGTATTCCTGTCTACAAGTGAGAGCTATGTATTCTTGCTTTCACATTCAGTCTCAGCACTCAATTGAATTAAGTAATTTATTCATACTTGACTTACAAAGAAACCTTTAAAACGTGGCACTTGATACGGATCATTTTCAAATATAGCTATATTTTTTGTACATACTTTTGATGCAGTAAAATTGATTACAAGCTGTATTTCGCCGTTGACCATTCTTAAAACAATTTATGTTGCAGCTATATTGAACCAAACTGCAATAATTCCCCAGCTGTCTCCAGTATAAAAATCATATAAATATAACTCTATTATCTCGAACAGCAATTTTATTGTGAATATCAACTTTGCACACACATTGAAGGAAATTGTTGTGTCATAATGAACAACACATGCAATTACGTACATATTAACGTTATCAACATGAATTTTTGAAACTTCTACTTTAAAATAATGAATGTACAGGACATTTTTTTGAACGTGGTTCAAAATGAGAAAAATGTTTTATTTACAGTTCATATCGCTAGCATGCACATGTAATCCTGCTGTCAATCTCTCTGTGTTTATACTCATGGTAAAAACAATGAATTTAAATAGACATAAATAAGGATGATGAAAAGCTGGACTAAAACTTGAGAACAAAAAAACTAAACATCACTTGAAACATAGCCACCATCAAGGTATGTAGCTATAAACTTCAACCTCTCAAATTGACTGAAATTATCCATTTCTAAAAGTAGCTTGTGTTGATGTGCTTATTTTTAGTTTCAGCAACCTATTGAAATTGATAATTAATTCATGCTTTATTTTCAAAGGAAACGTAAAAATACAAACGTGGCATTTATAAATATATACGTTAGAAGATATTAGTTGAAATGATTTCAGTTGTTGTATATTTCTTAAAATGATTAATTTCTCACTAGTCTACAACATGTGTTTTCCTTTGGGTATGTACGTTCATGCCTTATTTAAAACGTGATCTTTTAGAGAACCTGACATCAATGATCTAACTTGAATTGGTTGAATATGCCAGTATTGTATCGATTCTCTTGGCCTTTGTAAGCCACAAGACAATTTTGCTAGACGTTTAATAAGAATTTGTATTTTGAAAGTGATTGACAAATCATCCTCTTTAAAACTGAGATATTTTCCTCAGCTGCATGATGTTACGTTCTGGCAGAATCTTCTACACTAGTCCCACTGATATTCACAACGTTTATGAAGATTTCAGAGCGAGCATGCTGGGTACAATGGCTGGGTACTGCAATATAAAATTAATACGCATGCGCATCATTGCTTTTCTTTTTAGCGCGGTTTCTTCAGTGATAACGGCGCTGAAGATTTTTGCTCTAAATAACTCATTTCATTCCTAACGAATCGCAGATGACTTTAATCCACTAAGAGAACGATAAACTATTTCAGCAACGTGATTACCTTTCTTTAACATTTATAAATTTGATTCGGTGTTGTAATATTTTATTTACTATGCTTTTGGTAGAGGATACTTAAGCCACTGATATGTAAACTAAACTGGACTATTTATCCACGTCCATATAAAGTAGGCTATGTGAACAAAAACGCTTCTCCCTACGGCAAAAAAACTATTGAAGCAAAATTTTACCCATCGAGTCAAACAATTGTTGACAAACAAAAGAAAAAACAAACGAAATATTACAACCATGGCAGCAAGCCATTAATAGATCTCAACCTAGGAGATACAGTTCTTATACGACCAGACCAGACGTGCAGGACATGAAGGAAAGAAGTGTGTAACCAGAAGTTTGCACCCACGTCATACCAAGTTATTTCGGAAGGCTAAATATGCAGACGGAACAGAAGACATCTGACGTTTACTAAAGAAAGGGAAAGATTTATACAGATTGTACTGAGGAAGAAAATGAACAATCAGAGTCCGAAGACCCAAATGAGCAATCGTTGCTGTTAAATTCTCTACGCAAGACACGTCCACAAATGTCAGTATAGAAACCAATCAGGCACGACCAGACACCGACACATCAAACCCTCAGTGAAAAGAAAATCTTCTATAGGACGTACATTATGAAGAACGTTCTACATGTAATTACCAATTTTTATGAAAACTACTCTTAGGTCCTTCAAATTATAACCTTGTTTTGTTCCTTACGAAGAGATAGATGTAACGATATAAATTATCGGGCCTTTTGACCGGATGTACTGTATTGGGGCGAGAATTCTAGCGCCTTCTTAATTGAAGGCATCGTTGTATCTCATACTTTTATCAATTGAGTGGAGATTATGAATGAGTTGATTACACATCCTGTTGTTTACTTATTTGATATTTTGATGTATGAAACATAACAAATTTACAAATTATACAAATTTTTATGCCTAAAACTCAACCCAACTGTATTCCTGTCTACAAGCGATAAGTATCCTTCTTTTGATATTCTGTCTAAGCACTCAATTGAATTAAGTAATTGAAAATATGCACAACTTACAAAGAAACCTTTAAAACGTGGCACTTGATACGGATCATTTTCAAATATAGCTATATTTTGTGTACATACTTTTGATGCAGTAAAATTGATTACAAGCTGTATTTCGCCGTTGACCATTCTTAAAACAATTTATGTTGCAGCTATATTGAACCAAACTCGAAATAATTCCACACAGCTGTCTGCAGTATAAAATTTATATAAACATAACTCCATTATCTCGAACAGCAATTTTATTGTTAATATCAACTTTACACGCACTTTGAAGGAAATTGTTGTGTCATAACGAACAACAAAAGCAATTACGTACATATTAACGTTATCAACATGAATTTTTGAAACTTCTACTTTAAAATAATGAATGTGAAGGACATTTTTTTTTGAACGTGGTTCAAAATGAGAAAAATGTTTTATTTACAGTTCATATCGCTAGCATGCTCATGTAATCCTGCTGTTAATCTCTCTGTGTTTATACTTAGGCAAAAAACATCGAATTTAAATAGACATAAATAAGGATTATGAAAAGCTGGACTAAAACTTGAGAACTAAAAAACTAAACATCACTTGAAACATAGCAACCATCAAGGTATGTAGCTATAAACTTCTACCTCTCAAATTGAACGAAATTATCCATTTCTAAAAGTAGCTTGTGTTGATGTGCTTATTTTTAGTTTCAGCAACCTATTGAAATTGATAATTAATTCATGCTTTATTTTCAAAGGAAACGTAAAAATACAAACGTGGCATTTATAAATATATACGTTAGAAGATATTAGTTGAAATAATTTCAGTTGTTGTATATTTCTTAAAATGATTAATTTCTCACTTGTCTACATCATGTGTTTTTCTTTGGGTATGTACGTTCATGCCTTATTTAAAACGTGATCTTTTAGAGAACCTGACATCAATGATCTAACTTGAATTGGTTGAATATGCCAGTATTGTATCGATTCTCTTGGCCTTTGTAAGCCACAAGGCAATTTTGCTAGACGTTTAATAAGAATTTGTATTTTGAAAGTGATTGACAAATCCTTCCTCTTTAAAACTGAGATATTTTCCTCAGCTGCATGATGTTGCGTTCTGGCAGAATCTTCTACAGTAGTCCCAATGATATTCACAACGTTGCTGAAGATTGCAGAGCGAGCATGCTAGGTACAATGGCTGGGTACTGCAATATAAAATTATTACGCATGCGCATCATTGCTTTTCTTTTTTGCGCGGTTTCGTCAGCGAGAACGACGCTGAAGATTTTTGCTCTAAATTACTCATTTCATTCCTAACGAATCGGAGATGACTTTAATCCACTAAGACAACGATAAACTGATGCAGCAACGTGATTACCTTTCTTTAACATTTATAAATTTGATTCGGTGTTATAATGTTGTTTTATTTACTATGCTTTTGGTAGAGGATAATTAAGCCACTGATATGTAAACTAAACTGGAATATTTATCCATGTACATATATAGTAGGCTATGTGAACAAAAACGCTTCTCCCTACGGCAAGGAAACTATTGAAACCAAAATATTAACCCATCGAGTCAAGAAATTGTTGACAAACAAAAGAAAAAACAAGCTAAATATGCAAACGGAACAGAAGACATCTGACGTTTACTAAAGAAGGGGAAAGATTAATACAGATTGTACTGAGGAAGAAAATGAACAATCTGAGTCCGAAGACCCAAATGAGCAATCGTTGCTGTTAAGTTCTCTACGCAAGACACGTCCACAAATGTCAGTATAGAAACCAATCAGGCACGACAAGACACCGACACATCAAACCCCTCAGTCAAAAGAAAATCTTCTATAGGACGTACATTATGAAGAACGTTCTATATGTAATTACCAATTTTTATGAAAACTACTCTTAGGTCCTTCAAATTATAACCTTGTTTTGTTCCTTACGAGGAGATAGATGTAACGATATAGATTATCGGGCCTTTTGACCGGATGTACTGTTTGGGGCGAGAATTCTAGCGCCTTCTTAATTGAAGGCATCGTTGCAGCTCATACTTTTATCAATAGAGTGGAGATTATGAATGAGTTGATTACACATCCTGTTGTTTACTTATTTGATATTTTTTTGTATAAAACATATCAAATTTACAAATTATACAAATTTTTATGCCTAAAACTCAACCCAACTGTTTCCTGTCTACAAGTGATATGTATCCTTGTTTTGATATTCTGTCTCAGCACTCAATTGAATTAAGTAATTAATTTATATGCACGACTTACAAAGAAACCTTTAAAACGTGGCACTCGATACAGATCATTTTAAAATATAGCTATGTTTTGTGTACATACTTATGATGCAGTAAAATTGATAACAAGCTGTATTTCGCCGTTGACCATTCTTAAAACAATTTACGCTGCACGAAGTTATTTCGCCTTTAACACGTTATAAAGTATTAAAGTTTATTTCTAATGAAGTTTGTTAAGGATTCTGCTGAAAATTTTGGTGAAACATTTCTTTAAAATGAATATATTATTTCTTTAACATAAAAAATTTCTGTTGTTGAAGTACAGTCTGTTTGCTATAAATGATACTGTTTGTCGTCTTTTATACAGCATATGAGTTTGATCCGATCTTTAATTTAGCAAAGATTGAAATATATGGGTTGAATAATGACGCAACTTTTGTATGTGTTTATTGATCATACAGATCGAGGAGTGTTGGGGGCTCAGCCCTGTTTGTTCAAATTTTATGCCTTGTATTGCCAGTGAAATATATATATCAAAAAGCTGGCAGCACTTTAATATACATCGGAAAGCCAGCAATTTTTAATATATATCAGAAAGGCAGCAGCCGTTGTAATATACATTAAAGAGCCCAAATAGTTGAAATTATGGAGATATGCCTCTGTGATCTTATAAACCAAAACCTACAATTAAAATATCATTGACAAGTCTAGAAGAGAAGTAATGTTCTACTTTGAGCTACAGAAGTAGGGTACATTTGTAAAATTCATTACCAAATATATAATGTACTCAGCTGTTTCAGTGAATATCCTAATTATAGTTACTTTATTTTTAAATGATGAACTAAAAATACAAAATTCAACATGGAAAGTCGTAAGAGTTTCTGTGATTTGGTGTAGTTTTTTGTTTTAGAGTGGAAGTGGCTAAGAATTGAGAAGTTTGTAAATTGACCCATTTTAGAACATAATGAGAAATCATCTTCGATTAGAAAACAAGCTTTGCAGTAAGAAAACTATTGAAACTGCATTAGCACGAACTTTACAATGTTATTTGGCCCAAAAAATGATTCTCTACTTGAGTCAGTTAATTGAACCTATATCAAAAGCAGTTCAGCACAACAATCACCATACGCAATCAAATTTCGTAAGTTCGACGAAAGGGATTCCTTTCATGTTTTTCGTAATCCTCGATTCTAGCGATATGTAATGACATTTAGCAGCCGTCAACAATCAGTTATTACACACTTATCATAAAAAATGCAATATCATCTCAAAATACTGTGTTACTAGCAGTAATTTACGGTGGCCCAGAGGTGCAATACACAAACACGAATTCAAATACACAAACACAAATTCAAATACACTAACGCAAATTCACACAAACAAACACAAATTATAATATGCAAAATTCATATCCGGTTAATTTGCCAGCCAAATGTGTTCTGAGTTTACAAAGTTGCCGAAGTGCAGAATATTGTCATATTCTTATATTTTCGTTTTATTTCGAGAAAGTAAGATAAATACAAAACATTCGTGAGGTATTTATTACATTTAGCGTTCATGTATATGTTCGTATTATCTTTACCGGCTGTTGGTAATGTGAACTTGAACACCATGTTTTGTACAGTATGCAGAGTTCACTAAATACAAGGGGTAATTATTGTGCTAACTGTGGGATGGATCTTCGAAAGTCTGACGAGTCAAAGACCTTGCGGAACAGTGATCCATCAACATCAGCTGGGCCTACTACTGACCTCGTGCCACCAAACTTTGACTTTTAAAGAGTATTTGGCTGATATTTCATTTGCCACTGTTGAGACAAGGAAGCGTCAAGATCGTTTTGTCTCCACGAAAAAGACGAAGAACGACGAGACTGTCAAGGTTTGTGATTATTACTACCTCTGCAAATAGGTCATGTCAATAATTATTTGAAGGATGGGTGATGATAGTGAATAATTATATTCAATGCTTGTTTTTATGTAGATATTAGTTATGTAATTCCCACCTATTTAAGCTGAAATATAAAATGCTGCTATATGAAATTTGTTTTTTTTGCAGTCATTCGGTCATTCGAATCAACACAATAAAACTTTTCTTGCATGCTTTAAAAAATCAGGCTCAGGTTTTCATGGAGAAGGATGGAATAGTATTTTCCATTAAAATGTCTAATTATTTTTTAATTCTTCATCAACCATTTTGTGATGGCAGGTCATGAACACCTTGTAACTGGATATTTTTTCCACCCCAGATAAACATTGGAATTATTGAGCTGGATGGGAATCATTTGAAAATTAAGCGAGGCTCACTTCTTCCTATTGATGTAAAAAAATGTGATCCTCATGTTGTCATAAAAACTGCTGGGGTGGGGAAGCAACTGGCTCACAATAAGCAACTCCATGATGAAAGTTCCGAATGGGTTTTGTTGTACCCTGATATGGAGTTTTATATTTACCAGGCACAACAGAAACATTTTCTGTAGAAAAGTACAAGGAGTCCCTTGGCAGGCCATGCAGTAGTGTCAATTTGTATCTTTGCAAGACTTTGGATTATGAAAGTGAGGGAGTTTTCTATTAATTCTTAAAAAACACTTTGTTAATGTGTAGGCAATTTATTAATGTTGATTAACACCTAACTATGAGCATTTAGTAATCAAAGTAATTCTGTAAGGTCAAGTATATAATAATTTTTGCACCATTTGGTTAATTTTATGAAACTATCATGATACAAATAAAATTAAACACTTTATAAGGAGCTAATATTAAATATTACACATTAATACTGTAAAAGACAACATTCATTTAGATGTTATACTTGAGAATTCCAATATGAGTGCATAAGGAAATCAGCAAAAGTGTGCTATGCAACAATCTTTATTTAAATAAGTTACATATTTGATAAAAATACAAATATTTGTTTTGTAGTTGCTAATGAATTAGTTGATGATGTTGTGGAAGAGCAATTAGATTTGGAAGAAATCAGACTAGCATAGTCAAAATGAATTTTTGTGCACAGAACCACAGCTTGGAGAAGAATAACATTCCACAACTTTGGTTGGACTGTCATCTATTGATGATGCAACTTTAACACCACATGCACTGGAGAACCTCGAAAATTGTGATGCTTTTGAGATGAATACTGCCCAAGGTTTGTGAGTACTATGTAGTCTACTTGTACTTGTCAGTCTTTTTATGGAAAAGATGTTCTAGTTACATAGTATAGAAGAAAAGTACCACTAATTTGATGTTCAATTAATATTTCATGAAATGATGAGTGGGTAGTGTGATGATGGTGCAAAATACCATTGGGAATTCATTGAAAGAAAGTGGATGAATCGAATTTGAAAATAGAACAGTCGGAAATGTTGTGGCTTATCACCCATCTTTACTATATTAAGTGTTGTACATTGCAGGTGAAAGTTCTGAAGGGGCTACTTTTGTCCCAGAAAGTATGGCAAATGAAGTTATGGAGCGAGAAGTGTTGCTTATTCATCGTTGTAATGTGAAAGCTGACTTGCTGCACTATTTTGAAAAAGATGACATTTTAAAGAAGTGTGTGGATGTCCAGATGATTGATTCCAGAGGTGTTGAGGAAAAGGGCGAAGCAGTCGGCGTTGTCAGGGATGCATTTTCTCTGTTTTGGAATGAAATAGTTTCATGTCAGGCGAGGATGAACGAGTCCCAGTGATTCGTCATGACGTTTCTCGGGAGAAGTGGCAAGCGATAGCTAGAAATCTCGTGAAAGGTTACACTCAAGAACGCTATTTTCCAATCAAAATTTCTCGTGTTTTCTTGTGCTCCTGTCTTTTTGGCGTAGATTATGTCTCATAAGATATGTACGTGAGTTTTTTTATGAAGTATATTTTGACCACTGAGTCTAGTGTGGTTGAAAACGTACTTTCTCATTCTCTTGCAGTTGATGATGAAGATGTGCAGGATTTTTTAACAGCGTTTGAGTGCAAAAATATATAGCGTTTATACAGCGTTTGCCGTAAAGCTATTTCCCTCGGATGTTTTGCCGTATAGCTATTTCCCTCGGTGTTTTGCCGTATAGCTTTTTCCCTCGGTGTTTTGCCGTATAGCTTTTTCCCTCGGTGTTTTGGTATAGCTTTTTCCCCTCGGTGTTTTGCCGTATAGCTTTTCCCTCGGTGTTTTGCCGTATAGCTTTTTCCCTCGGTGTTTTGCCGTATAGCTTTTTCCCCGGTGTTTTGCCGTATAGCTTTTCCCTCGGTGTTTTGCCGTATAGCTTTTCCCTCGGTGTTTTGCCGTATAGCTTTTTCCCTCGGTGTTTTGCCGTATAGCTTTTTCCTCGGTGTTTTGTATAGCTTTCCCTCGGTGATTTGCCGTATAGCTTTTTCCCTCGGTGTTTTGCCGTATAGCTTTTTCCCTCGGTGTTTTGCCGTATAGCTTTTCCTCGGTGTTTTGCCGTATAGCTTTTTCCCTCGGTGTTTTGCCGTATAGCTTTTTCCCTCGGTGTTTTGCCGTATAGCTTTTCCCTCGGTGTTTTGCCTTATAGTTTTTCCCTCGGTGTTTTGCCGTATAATGCAGCCTCGGTGTTTAGATGCCGGAGGTATTATGTATTCCAGGTCGAAAATCGCGCAAATATTTGTGTTTTTTTAACAATCTTATAAAAATTTACACAATAGCTGCTTTTTATCGGCCTTGAAATCGTCCCGAAGATTTGCGGTTTTTGTATCACCTAAACTCTTCGATATTTTAGGTATTTTTCGTCCGTACGTATTTACAAGCTTATAATGCAACGAATGAAATCGCGTTAGACGAGATTGAAGAAGTTATTGACGAAGCTGACAGGTAAATTTTATAACAATCGTCCTCTTATATTAATATACCGCAAGATAATTTTTGAATTCTTTTTTAGGTTTCTATGGGTACGTATGTCTTGACTGATTCACTGACGTAGTTCTCGTTTATTTAAGGTTCAGTTAAGTCAGTTTAGAGTTTACTGACACCATTTAGGTCAGTATACCTAGGGTCAAGTTATAGATGCTTAATACATAACTTTTCAATTATTTATTACATCGCCTATTCAAGTACTCTTTAGCCATTGTACGCAAGTGCTTACATATTGGTGTCGGTTTTGTCTTTCTGCGAATAAATGTTTTAATTTTACGTATGTTTTAAAAAATATTCTGAAATAACATCATTCAGCTTTGTTTTCCTTTTCTTCTATAGATTGTCTCTTCTTTCTCATTTCTTTTGGGCGATGTTTTCAATTCTTCAAAGTTATAAATCCTCGATCAATTTTGGTTATCTCGTAAGTATATGTACAGTAAAATAGTGTTGTTTACCGTTAGATTTACATCAAGTGACTGAATTTGGATTTTTTCTTCGTTGTACTGTCGTACCGTGGTAATGTATCCTAAACACCATTTGCTAGTTTTAATATACCATATCTTATAAGGAACATTCTACATCGAACAATGTTAGAAATGTTAGAAATGTTAGAAATGTGCACCACCACTTCATCAACTTTTTGCATATAGTGTTCGTTATGTCTTTACAAACATTTGTGTAAATGCATGGTCTTTTGCACTAAGTTCTTTCCATGTGGATTTGTTTAGAACAGATGTTAGTCAGCAATAATGTGTTATGCGTTTGTATCAAACTTGTACATAATGAGCACTATCATTGTGAACAAACGTAAAAGGAGCGTAACTCTTTGCGAAGATTTCTTGTAAGTTTGCAAGAAGGATTTTGTGTTTAAATTTTATAGAATCAAATCTCTATAAAGTAAATCCCATCCGCAGTAGTAACCATGCAAAGGATCTTGAGTGCGTTTTATTAATCTGTCATATAAGGTGTTAAGGAAGCGTCAGAAACTATCTGGAGAAATACTTACGTGCAAACATCCACCTATATAGGAAATGTTACGCAAATACTACATTTACTGCATGATGACAAATTTCAGTACCTTTCATAAAACCAAATTGTTTATGACGATTTTTAAAATTATTTGTTGGGCTCTAATATTTATATTGAGAATCCGCTTCCCGCCTGGCACTTCATTGGCAACAATACCTTTAACAAAAATATATGTATGCTAATACTTCAAACTAGAAATAGGTTATGGTCACAGATTTGGATACGACATTTTAGTGCGCACAATTCTGAGAGTACTGCAGTAGCCTGCCCTTCCAAGTAAAAAGTAGGTAGAAATACTCACTCACTTTAACTTTTTCAAATGTAGTTCCTGTCTCATCAGCTGCCTTTTGTATTGTTTCATGTTTCTCCTTTGAGGTTGTATTCATTCCCTGATCGTTATAAGACTTCAAGATATCTTTTTGCAAGTGGCAAGTCCATATGGCGTCAATTAGAACGCTTAGAGGATCTACATCATTGAGTTCTATAATAACTGGAGCGGCTATCTCAAACGCGGCCTTAGATATCTCATGACGCCAAAAAAATGGCGGATTTCGTCCGTTGCCGCTGAGATTTACCGAAATTGACCGCTTTTCCGAAAATTTCACAATTTCCCACACCCTCCTGAGGCAAGAGTGATGTGTGTATTTGGGATTCGGCAAGCAATTTTTGATGAAAATCAAGGTAAAAACCTTAAACAGCGAGTCAACTGTGGTTGTCAGTTATCTGCTCTTACGAGGATGCATTTAAAACTATCGACGAAAGAGCTATAATATATGTCGGCTACACATGAATGAATGCAGATGTGGGTCGTTCTTTTACCAGCATCAAACTTGTTTGATTGATTAAACTCTTTAGTCTATACAAAAAAGTATATCATAGTTCATTTCCACGGTTCACGAGAGAGAAGTTATCATTGCTATTTTGCTTCTTTTCATGCAATGGGCAATGGCTTTTTTCCCCACAATTGTAGGATTTTTACTTGTTTCTTTAAAAAAGTAAATATTAAATCTCTGGATACTTACGGATTTTCTGTAATTGAGTTTCATATTAAATTTCAAAAAGACTCAAGTCTGCATAGGTTTGGTAAATGAAAACAAACAATAATGTATAGAAATTACTTTAAGTAACCTTTTGTGATGTTCTGAAGTGCAACTGCATCCAATACTTGTAAAGTTGTAGCACATTTTGATTTTGTTGTATTGATATATGAATTGGGCAAAATGCAAATAATCATCAAAACACTTATGCTTCCAATGGTGTTTATAATTCAATTGTAGTTTTAATACTTCTACCCTTCTTTTTCACTTTGTTTTTCCTATATTTGCAATATAAGTGCACAATTTGAATGATTAACACAGTTTTCACCTCAATAATAAATTTCATAAGCAGTTGGTAGTACATTTTGTTCTCTGAGTATCCACATCTGGTGTTTTGTTCCTACAAGAATGATGAAGTGCAAGTAGATATGTGATGGCAAGACAACAAAACCAAATGAATTAAATACCTTTAGTGTATATTTATGCTTGAAGCTTAGAAGCTTTTTAGAAATTAGAAAGTTATATTACCTCTATATCATTAATCTCATGAAAAGAAATAAGAAGCAAAAAATTGTAGAAAAGCTTTGAAAAGTGAAGAAACCTTTCTTTAAAAAAGCAGCAATAATGCATATGATAAATCTCCATTCTGTACTCTAATGGGTAAATAAGCTCAAACTGTTTCTTAATGCGAAAACTGTAATAATGAAGAAATATACAGTACAGTAACTTTAAAGGTTTCATCACTGAGTCGTTGACTTTCATCACTTTTCAATCGTTGACGGACTAACAAAACAAGCAACTATCTCACCTGTGAGAAGCCATATGTTCCTTTTTGTGGAAACTACGACATCCAACAATTGAACGATTGAAGTGTTGGCATTATAAAAGAAATGCCAAAAAAGAATCGTCACAGAATATGGAACTAACGATATCCATCTTCTGTGATATCGTGTTTGTTTTTGAAAAATTCTTTATAATTTGCTATAGATACCAGGGGGAAGTCGAGAATATTATTTTTCTGCAAAGCGATCATTTCAGCGGAAATACGTCCGTTGGCCGCTATTTTTTTGGCGTCCTCGCCCCAGTAAAGTTAGCCGCCCCAGTTATTATAGAACTCAATGATCTACATCACATACATGCGACGTTCTCAATTTGAAAAGACTTGCTTCAGACGATTGACAACATGCGACACGGGTGATGACTTGAATTTTTTTCAAAACCGGCTTTAAATGACAAACTGTTATTTGTAAATAGACGTCTTACCTACAGATATGTAGAATTATTTGCAGGTAGTTGACCAATCAAAAGTGACATTGTTTACATAGTGAATAATGATGTAAGATAATTGCATGAAATGCATGATACACCAAGATTGCGTGGAACGTGGCGAAAAGATAGAATTAGCTACTTATAGAGCAACATCTCATTAAAGAATTGAGTGAAAAAGCGTAACATTAGAATCACATAAGTACCTAAATCAGCTCTAATTTTTAGGGAAAATATTATTTCACCGCAGCATTTTTAACAATTTTTCAACGCTTTTTTAAATGATAATGACTATAAAGGTTTTTTTAGAAGACATAAAAGCTAAAATGTTTTTATTATATGTTGAAAGTTTCATTAGGAATAATGATCAAATTTATAACATCGCAGTCTTTGGAAATTCTTCATGGTTTTATTTTCATCTCAGTAAACTTTAAGGATTCATAGTTATTTTTCCAATAATACCAATTCACACCAGTCGAACTGCTGTATGCTCCACTATAGTAGTGTCCATTTAGGTTAGATTCATGACAAGCATTATACCACCAAGCACCACTGTGGAGAATGGCGCAGTTTCCTACACGTTTATCATTATCTGAATCTTTGGTTGTAAACGCCATGCCATTATGATAAGATAATGAATCTTCAGCATTTCCTACGAAGAGTAAATTGGCTCCGAAAAATTTTACGTCATTTAACTAATGTTATTCACAATTCTCCTTAACAATTGCAGAAAATACCCAACACGTGTTTTATGGGGTTAATAGAAAATTTTAAGAGATTTTTCAATGGTCATTTGTTTAGAAGGGTTTTATGAGATTTGTCAATTACTTTTTTCATTTAGTTTATAGAGTAAAGAAAGAAGCGGTATAAATACCGAAATATATTACAATACTAAGTTTTCTTTAGATATATTCAGTAGCATTCTCATTATACAGTTTTATACAAAGCTAAAATTGAATTTCATTTGTTAATTTTAGCGGAAGCTCCAACCACACTCATGCATAATGTATAACGCTAACTTTAAGTTAAAATTTGCTACCGTTTATAATATAGTTGTTGCTAATATATTAAACCATTTATCCTTCTCAAAATGAAATAAATAAATCGCAAAAATAAAAGTTGTCTACTCGTTAGCTAGCTACATGTCATGAAGAGATTTTTAGCTTTCTTTCATCCCACCTTCATTCCCCTGAACTTTTTTTCTGCATGCAGTCTATTCACATTGGTCTCAATGTTAACCGGCCTAATTTTATTGTATGATAGATTTTCAAAATTTGTGTATTTACTTGATGGTGTACCTGGGTATTTTCCAAGGCTCAAATGATATTTATGTGTTTCGTTCTTATAAATGAAAATTCTCCATGTAAACTTGAATGACTTTCAGTAACGTTTTAGGTTGTTAAAAGTTCGTGAGAAACCTTTATTTTTAGAACAAGTTATCATAGATAAATCATTTACAATTAGTTACAACTGGCTAACATGAATGCTTGCGTTTTATAAAAAAAGATTTCAGTCAATGATTACTGGACAATGGTGTTCACAGTATAAATTCTCTCTTATGTACCAAATGTTTTAGTCGTGTTTTATAAGCTATACATGTTGTTCAGGCGCAGTTTATCAGTGCCTATTTACAAAGCAAGAATTGAATTTCACAACCATTTCATGATCTCTTCTTGCATGTCAAGAATTGTTGTCGCATGGTGCAACTGAATGATTCACACGAGAGAATGATTTTTACTTAATTGTTGTTCCTTGTATTTTAATGTAAGCTTGTCGATTCAAAATGAATTATCATACTTTTTATAACAAACAAGACTTCAGTTCAATACCAACCGTTACTACCTGTGTTGTTTCTCTCTTCGCAACTGCACTCACTCAAATCATTCCAACATTTGGCATGTGTCAAACTCACGCTTAGAAATTTTTCCGTTTATATTTACGTATTGACTCACCAGAATATGCTCCACGACTTAGTTGATATTTTTTACTTTCATTCTTTACAGAAAAATAATCATATTCAGCATATGCTTTGTTTCCTGACCAGTCTCCCAGGTCAACACGAAGTTTATTTCTCTTGGCTGATGTTAGTCGGTATATTTTATCCAATCCAGCCAGAATTCGCCTTTCAGATCCAAAACCTTGTTTATAGTCTTTCCAACCTCGATAAAAGTTTACACTTCCATCTTGACGTCTTTGAAACACAGTCCAACCTCCACCAGATGACGTCATATCACAGAAGACACTGAATGTGCCCTGGCCATCTGGATCAATTACATAAACTCCGTTCTTTTTTTCACCTTTTTTGTAGAGATCTGCACAGTCTTTTTCCTGAAAAAAGTTTTATTAAAAAAGCTATTGCAATGTACGTCTTATGGGTTTTGTAACTCATTAAACCTATAAAGAAATTGTTACACAGCTTTCTTGCGCATAGATCCATTGTGCTAAATAACTATTTTGTATATTTTATAGTTAAATGTTAAAACAAATTAGCAAGAAAATTGACTCAAGATCATTACAATTGCGTTCTTATCCTTGAAATCAGGAGAATTTCAGTAACTTAAGAGATGAATTTCTTTTTTAGTGATTCTGTTACCTGTGGCGTATTTGATTTATTGTAGAGAATAAATATATCTTCTGATATTGTCAGTTATCGTTTGGTTGTCTGAACGTACATGATGCAGAGCATGTTTAAATAGAAAGGTTGGTAACAATGGCTTTTTATAATGATAGATGAAGTCAACGTCTCCTACCGCAAACTTTCATTAAAAGAACACAAAACCTGTTTAAAATGGTCAAATGTAGTAGAAACAAAATCACACTTAAAACATTTTGGAATTTTACATTCCAATTTTTATATATTAAAAATTCACCAATGCACAGTTTCCATGTATAAATCAGTTAATATTATTATTAAACATTATTTAGGATGCTACAGGCGTGGTAAACTTGGTTAATGGACTACCGTTCCGATTTATAGACAATTTTCTTTATTAGATTAAAGCCCAAATCTTTATTTAGGTTATGTTATCATATTTATAATCTTAGTGATTGACGATTAAGCAGGCAAATTAAATGACATTAACTGATTCTAAACATCAACTGATGTTTTTATTGATCAAGACTTAGCAAGCATTTCAGTGATCATTAATATATAGATCTTAATAAAGGAATAACACAAATCTTTTTATGTGCAAGATTCTTTAACACTCCTTACTGTCTTCGCTAAAATAGAAATTTATTTTTGGTTCAACTGACAAACGAAACTCCAATTCATTGCCAATATAAATGTAATAAGTACATAATTTTTCACCAGATATGTTTAAAAAATGACGTTTGTATTTTATATTACATTATATTAAAAATGCAAGAAAGAGTAATATTTATCATGCATTGCTTTAATCCAATATGCTCTAATCAATGCAGAACAAAAGAAGACCTAAAAATAAAAATATGTCGGTAGGATAATATGAGGGTTTGCAAGAAGATGATTTCGAAAACGAACACTTGATCAGGCTAACAAAGAAATGAGCAAAATTTTCTTTTTAAAAGAACTTTAAGTCAGATTTAATATAGTTTGCACAACACTTACCTAGAGAAAATTAGCGTGAATTATCAATTATTTAAAATTAATCCAAATGCCTACTTAAGAAACATTTTCCAATCAACTAGCTAATTTCTTTATTCTTACCGTCGGTAGTAGACTTTGATAAAAAGTCCATTTTCCTTCTGAGGCTAGTTTCGTTAAATTGCTGTCATGTAATTTGGCATTAGTAATTTGGCAGTTTATCTCATGTTCTTTTGCATGAAATAAGAAATTGAAGCCAACACATAGATTCTGTTGATGACACTTCGTGAAACATTCAATGTGATTGGGAACAGCATGAGTTGAAATGATATCTTTCGGTGAAAGAATCTCACCTTAAAATAGAGAACAAAACAGAATACATTACTATAGGTGTAAATTATGCACAAAGATAACAAAGTCCATTTTCTAGTCAGTATATACATAATAAAATTAAAATTTACAAAATTCATTGAGACAGGAAGCAAAAGAAAGTCCCAATTATCTTCGTTTCTCAAAAGTAACCTATCATCATTATGTTCAAACGTAAACAAAAACATTTCTGTACGTATATTACATAGACGGGATGATACAATGGTAGCTACGATATTGCCCTAAATTTGCCAAATTGTATTTTGCGTATGAATCGTCATCAGTAGATTTTTTTAGTAATTTTCATGACAAAAATCATATAAACATGCAAAAGAAACTTATTTCGTTCATAACATGCAATCCACACGGCAAAAATATAAAGACTTTTGTTGCGTTAATTTATAAATAAGATATGAACATGTTTTTAATGTCTAGTGTCTTAAAGTTCCTGAAATTCTCTCAGGGTATGAGGGAGGGGTGGGTGAGAAAACTCTCCAACTTTCGCAATCTTTGGACTAGTTGGGCAAGTTTCAGGAATTTGTTGGGATAATTTTCATGGTTTCACTGTTCCATTATTTTAAAAAGTACAACGGGCAAGGTTTTGTACTCGTGTATATAAAATCTGATTACAAACCATTAAAAATTTTGAGATGAAGCCCTACAAATTCTTTGGCAAATGCATGACGTGTCAACATGTTATGTGGAAACTCCGTTTAGTTTTACTGATAGAAGAAGGTGTTTTGTAAGCTCAGCGAAAGCAGCCAATGGTATAAATTTATAGTTATTTTGCAACATTAAATTCTTTGATCGTATGTTTGTATCGTTGTATTCACATTATTGTGCAAGTTAATTTGTCCGTGTTTTTCTCCGTGTATAATTTATTTTCTCCAAAGTCCAATTTGTTTGACATAAACAAACCTGAGTTCAACGAAGATTCAAATTCACACGGGCTATTTCTTTGCGTTTGCTGACCATTAAAATCCAGGTTTAATCTTGGTTTGACTTAACCCATATCAAGAAGTGGAATGAATTAAACCCAGGCTAAACCTGTGTTAATAGTGTTTACACGCAAAAAAGGCATACACGCATTCATTTGAATCTTGGTTGAGCCCAGATTAGCTAATGTCGTGTGAATTAGGCTCAAGTTTGTATCAACTTATAGTTAGTTGTTTTTACTTGTAATGATTGATGAATTTATGTATGCATTGTTAGATGTAGAAATTCAATATCGACCTTAGACGGGAGATAGATTCCCTTACACAAACATAAAGATGAGAACTTAAGGATAATATACGTTTTTCACCTACAGTGAAGAAAAAAAAATTCTTGGGCTGCACTACATAAAGACGCCTTCTATAAATAAACTTAAATGAGCGCAAACTTTTAGGCGTATAGTTTTATAGTATTGCCAATTATATGTCCCTGCAAATGTGTAAAGTTATGCTTGCAAAACTGCATGATTTTTATTAAGCGTCAGTGGTGGCAGATAAAATTTCTGATTAACAAAAATTAATAAACTTTATAACTATAAATCCGTCCGATGAATTACCTTTGCGAGCTTTCACCTACCAAAGTTTTTACACAAGTTTCGGCATTGAACGCAAGCAATATACGAAAATGAGTCGAAGAAATTAAAGACACAAGAGAAGTAAGTTTTATTATTTAGATGTGATGACACGATTTCAAAAAAATTATTTTGCTGACAAATCAAACTAAAGACCAACAAAGCTAGATAGAAAGCTTTGTTTCAAGTCATGTAATAATCCAACCAACCTTGTCTGCTCGGTCATTACCGTTAAATATTGGATTTTAGACTTTGAGTAGATAACCTCGCCGTACGGGCTCTGTATATAGCTAAAAAGCCCTTGGTCGGATTTATCTAGGTGAAGACCTTGAGCTTTGTTAAATATTCAACGAAAAATATGTTTCCCTCGCGTTAAGTTAATAAAACACAAGAATGGTTTTTAAAACATACGCGTTTTAAAAGATACGAGTTTTTTATATCCTTAAATTCATTTTCATTATTACGTTATCTTGTTATATTGTAACATACCGTTGTTTTTTGTCGTTGTAAAATCACTTTGTGAACTTTGACAAGCATTATTTGATGCATTGCAGTAAGCAACTAAAACAAAAATCACAAAAACACGCATCGACATCTTGCATAAAAGAAAGAAACACTTTATGTTTGAAAAATGTTTTTGGCAACAATTATATAGCCACCATCATGAAGAATAAATTATATTTTGCACATGCAGCTGTGTTCAATTTACCTAAATTGCATAGAAAAGCACTTTTCCGATATTTTGGGCATGTTTAAATGCCATAAAAGCCGATTATTTTTTAACTCCTAGAGGCTTGTAGAAATATTTTCTTGCTTGATGATAATGGAAAGATTGGTTTATTGGTGAACAAACATTGTCCACATTAACTATCTCTTTTGTGACACCTAACACATTAAGACAAAACTCATATATAAATCATTAAGCACTAGAATATGACTTCCTATAACACATAACATAATAATAATTAGTAGTTAATAATTAATAAAAGTCCACTTTGTTTGTATTAATTTGATTCGCAGCTAAAAACCTTTGCTAGCTAAAGCCTTTGCTAGCTAAAAACTTAGCTTCTACAGACGTCCTGTTTTGTTTTGTGGTTTGAAATATAATTTCCTAAAGTTCCATAATGAGTTCTTTTATTAAGATATCTAGCTATAGTGTTTGCGTTATTCCCCGAGAAATATTTTTATTGTCAAGTGGATGCAAATTGAAGCTTTTCAGTACAATTATTGACGTATCGTTTTTATTATTTATGTCACTATGCAATAATGATAAGTACTCAGTTTATAAATAACGTCAGTCACTCAAACACAGAACGGTCATGGGGACTAAGGAGAAACGGCAAGGTCACATGTGGGGAGACCTTTTTGGGAAACTAGTGTGTCTACAGGTGAGGTATTTACAAGATTTTGTGATTATAGTTGAGATCATACATTGTGACTGACTGAGCGTACGTACGATGTAGGATTAGCTAGAAAAGTGGATGATACAGACGATTTTCCTTTTTTAAAGTAGTCTTAATCTTTGATTTTCTGGTATTTTGAAAATAAATTTACAAAATATTTTTGAAGATACGGACGCTGATTGGTTAAATGCCCGAAAACCCCGTATTTCAGAAACTCTATTACAGTCTCGTAAAAGTATCGCAGAATGCATGGTTTGTGCGGAAACTTTTAATGAAAAAATTTTTCAAACAACATGTCAATAAATTTGTCTTTTTAATATTTCTTTAATAGGCTATTTCATGAGTGTAATAAAAAACATATTTACTTGTTTCCATTGAGTTATAAAAATATGTACTTGTGAAAGTTTTTGAGCAACTCAAAATTGCTCGGTAGTACTCGCCGTCGCAATTCGTACTCGTGGTTGCCACGCAACTTTTTGTTTCTCAAACTTTCTCGCGTGTAGAAGCACGGAAAATATTTTCTATTTCTCACATGATAAATGAATGCTTATTTTTATACGTAGCTACAGACGTATGCATTAGGTTGTCCTTCTCTGTTTAAGCTACTACTACTACTACTAGTCATAGTCTGACAATGATGTTAAAAAATGCATGCTCCGTGCCTGATAATGTCGTGAATGTTAGCACATTCCAGTAAAATGAACTGAGATCAGGAACTTGTTATGTTAAGTTAATAAGAGCTGTCGAAATGTGGGTGGGTTGTTGTTGTAAAAGAGTTGTGATGTGAATGATGTGATTTGAGGGAGATCAACAATAAAAGGCAATTACTCAAGTTCAATTTGGACTTCCTCGAACTAATTTTGGGAATCGAACGAAATTCACCACAATAAAGATTACATATCAACGTCATGATAGAATAATAATGGCTACTTATTTTTCTTATTTTTTTTACGAAGCATTTGGACTACGTAGCCATTAATTAAAAATTATGACAAACAAGAACATTATATTAAAGCAATTGTATAACGTGTAGCTCCTTACTCATTTGGACAAACAGTCAACCAACCACAGTCAATTAATGTCTCAAAGTATTGTACTAAGTAAATACATGACTGATTTGTTCTTATGTGAATTGTAAAGTATACTTGTTCAAAAATCTATTGTTTTCATTCATTACTTAAACTACTGAAAAGTCATGCCTAAAACATATACAAAGTTTATTAAACTGGAAATGCTTATGTACTCAACAGATGTTTTATGATCAAGTGTTGCTAACATTTTTGTTATTTTGTTGTTGATGTGTTAGGCACGTGGTTTAAAACAGCCAATCACCAGTTCTCTTCTGCCATAATGACGTACAACCAGGTATTGATTTATAACTAGGTTATTGTGAATATTACAGACTCTTAATAAAGGTAAATATGATTTAAATACGTAGAAGAAACTTGTTGGTTAAGGCAAAGGAAGATCTTGATGAGACAAAAATTCGTGTGATTGATTTCGAATATTCTTGTTATATAACTACAGGTGAAAAAAATAGAAGAATAGTTTTCTTTTGAACCACAATTGAGGAAAAATGGAAGGAATATATTTTCATCTTCACGCTGCGTAAAGTTGTCAAATATTATGATTGTAAGATTTTATGGTTAAAATTAACCTCCCAAACTATAGCTCATATGAAAAGGATGATCTGCTGATTATAATGTAGTTATCTATTATCGCCGTATAGGTTTTTACCTCTGTGTTTAGCTGCCGGAGGTATTATGTATTCCACGTCGAAAATCACGAAAATATTCGTGTTTTTAACAATATTATAAAAATTTGCACAAAAGTTGCTTTTTTAACGGCCTTGAAATCGTCCTGAAGGTTTGTTGTTTTTATATCACCTAAGCTCTTTGATATTTCAGGTACTTTTTGTCCGTACGTATCTACAACCTTATAATGAAACGTATGAAATCGCGTTAGATGAGATTGAAAAACTAATTAACGAAGCTGACATTTAAATATTATCACAATCGTCCTCTTATATTAATATAGCGCAAGATAAACTTTTAAAGTTCTTTTTTAAGTTTCTATGGGTACGTATGTCTTGACTGATTGACTGACGTAAATCTCGTTTACTCAAGGTTCAGTTAAGTCAGTTTAGAGTTTACTGACACCATTTAGGTCAGTTTTAGGTATACCTAGGGCTTGTCAAGTTATAACTGATGCAATTAATACATAACTTTTGAAAGCAATTCTCTTTTTTATTACATCACGTTCGATTTACATCACGTGACTAAGTTACCTTTTTCGTTGTTTATTGTACCGTGTTAATGTAACCTAAACACCATTTGCCATATTTAAAATACCATATCTTATAAGAAACATTCTACAACGAGCAATGTTATAAATGCGAACTACCACTTCATCAACTTTTTACAAATACTTTGCGTTATTTCTTCAAAAACATTTGTGTAAATACATGGTCTTTGGCACTAAGTTCTTTCCATGTGGATTTATTCAGAACAGAGGTTACCATTCAATATCTCTCATACGTTATGCACGTATTTCTTTTAATAATCAAATCAATATAAAACAGAAGAGTTGGCGGTGTCTAAGATGCGTAAACATGAATGGTTGTATTTTGATTTGCAATGTAGTGAAGTGTGAAGGTGTTTATAAATATGTGAGTTTTTTTCGGAATGTGTGTGTTCTTTAATGCTTGTGGAAAGATGGCGAGTATGCCGAAACATGTTTACGATAAAAAAAACTCGTCGTTCATTTAAAATGTCTGATATCCATCGTGCTTTTAAGAAATTTTGTGATTATAATTGAGATCATACATTGTGCATTGTGACTGACTGAGCGTACGTACGATGTAGGATTAGCTAGAAAAGTAGATGATACTGACGGTTTTCTTTTTTTAAAGTTGTCTTAATCTTTGATTTTCTGGTATTTTGAAAATAAATTTATAATTGGCACTGATTGGTTGAATGCTCGCAAACCCCGTATTTCAGAAACTCTTTTTCAGTCTCGCAAAAGTATCGCAGATTGCGTGGTTTGCGTGGACACGGAAAATTTAAACAATATGTCGTTAAATTTGTCTTTTTAATGTTGGTTTTAATTTATGAATGAAATACATACTTGTGAAAGTTTTGGAGCAACTCGAAATTCATTGAAAGTACTCAATTCGTGCTCGTGCTTGGCACATAATTTATTTTTTGTTCCAAACTTTCCCGCGTTTAGAAACAAGTAAATTTTTTTTACTACTTACGTGATAAATGAATGCTTATTTTTATACATATGCATTAAGTTGTCGTTTTCTGTTTAAGCTACTACTTTTGCTAGTCAGTAGTCTGGCAGTGATGTTGAAAATTGTATGCTTCATGCCAGATGAAGATCAAATATCAACGTCATGATAGAATAATAATGTTTCTTATTTTTCTGCGGTTTTTTTTAGTATGCTGCCTTTGGACTACGTAGCCTTTACTTAAGAATTTTTACAAAGAAGAACATTATATGGAAGCAATTGTATGACGTACTTACTTATTTGGACACACAGTCAATCAACCACAGTACTAAATGAATAAAAACTATAGATTTTTTAATTACTTAAAATTCAAATAATCACAAATCATTAATTTATTTAATAATATAATATGAGACATTAACTGCTGAAATGCTATGCACAAACCATATACAAGGTTAATTAAACTGGAAATACTTATGTGTCAAAAAGATGTTTTAGGATCAATGAATTTATATGTTGCTTACATTATTGTTATTTTGTTGTTGATGTGTTAGGCACGTGGTTGAAAACAGCCAATCACCAGTTTTCTTCTGCCATAATGACGTACAACCAGGTAAAGATTTCCAACTAGGTTATTGTGAATATTATGGGTTTTTAATAAAGGTTAAATATAATTTAAATACCTATAGGAAACTTGTTGGTGAAAGCAAATGAAGATCTCGATGAGGCAAAAATACGTGTGAAAAAAAAGAGAGAAGGATAATTTTCGTTTAAACCGCAAATGAGGAAGGAAGAAAGGAGACATTTAGTTCTATATCTGGAATATTATTTCATCTTTGCGCTGCGTAGAGTTGTCAAATATTATGATAGCAAGGGTTTTGTTTGTTCACTTAAGCCCGCCGCACACTGGTAAACTTGCCGCGCGTACTTGTTATTCGTGACAAGTGTGATCGACAAAATTAAACAAACGCGCATTTGATATTTGACTCATCTGTCATTAATGACAAATGTTGTTCAAAACTTCCGCGCACACTAGGAAATTTTCTCGATCACACTTGTCACGAATAACAAGTACGCGCGGCAAGTTTACCAGTGTGCGGCGGGCTTTAAAGCAGTCATCAATTATTGAGCAAGGGGGGGGGGAGATCTGGCAACAAAACAACCATATTGTACCCATAATGCTTTTCAACCAGCTGCTTATCTTTCTTTTGGAGCATTTTAAATTATTTATTTCATCAAAACTTTTCAACTTTTCTTATTTTAAACATCGTTTACCTTGTCAAACTTTTTTATAATATTTGTTATTTTTTGATTCAGAGGATACGATATTGGTAATCATTTCAGTGAATGGATATTTGATTATAATCATCCACATTATCCCTTTTTTACCGGAGACGTCACCAAATATGCTTCTTATGATCAAAAGGTAATTCACTAATATATGTAATAATTTAAAAAAAGATAAAAACAATTTTATGGTGAAAAATAACCCCCGAACTATAGTTCATATGAAAAGGATGATATGCTGTTTATAATGTGGCTATATATTATTGCTTGATTTGAGTTACAGCATTTATAGCTACCATGTGTTAATGATGTGATGATTGTGCTTTTCTTTGCGGTATAACTATTTATTCTCAGTACTTTATTTCTGTTTTTCTCGTGTTTTTTTTTTGCTTTTGATTGCTTTGCTTATTTTGCTTTCTTCTCTCGGTGTTTTGCCGTAGAGGTATTTCCCTCGGTGTTTTGCCGTACAGGTTTTCCCTCGGTGTTTGCCGTAGAGGTTTTTTGTCGTCGGTGTTTTGCCGTAGAGGTTTTGTCGTCGGTGTTTTGCCGTAGAGGTTTTTTGTCGTCGGTGTTTTGCCGTAGAGGTTTTATGTCGTCGGTGTTTTGCCGTAGAGGTTTTGTCGTCGGTGTTTTGCCGTAGAGATTTTTTGTCGTCGGTGTTTTGCCGTAGAGGTTTCCCCCCTCCGGTGTTTTGCCGTAGAGGTTTCCCCCTCCGGTGTTTTGCCGTAGAGGTCCCCCCGGTGTTTTGCCGTAGAGGTTCTCCCCGGTGTTTTGCCGTAGAGGTTTTCCCTCGGTGTTTAGCTGCTGGAGGTTTACTGTATGCAAAATTTGCATAAAAACTGGTTTTTTTTGTCCTCGGCATTTTCCTGAAGGTTAACTGTTTTTATATCACTTAAACTCTTCGAAATTTCAGGTATTTTTTGTCCGTGCGTATTTACAAGCTTACAATGAAACGACTGACGTCACGTTAGACGAGATTGAAAAAGTTATCGACGAAGCGGATAGGTATATATTTTTAACAATTGTCCTCTTGTATTAGTATAGCGCAAGATAAATTTTGGAAATTCTTTGAGAATTTCTATGAGAACGCATGTCTTGACAGATTTATTTTCACTGTCTTAGTTCTCCTTTATTTAAGGTTCAGTTTTTGGAATACGTCAGTTTACGGTTTAATGACGCCATTTAATTTAGGTCGGTTTTATGTATACCTTTATAGGCTTTTATTACACAGCCTATTCAAGTAACTTTTTACCTATTGTACGAATGTGCTTACATATTGGCGTCGGTTTTGTTTTTCTGCGAATAAATGTTTTAATTTTACTTATGTTTTAAAAAAATTTCTGAAATAACATCATTCAGCTTTGTTTTCCTTTTTTCTATAGATTGTCTCTTCTTTCTCATTTCTTTTGGGCGATGTTTTCAATTCTTCAGAGTTATAAATCCTCGATCAATTTTGGTTATCTCGTAAGTAGATAAATTTTTCAATAGTGTTGTTTATGTTTCGATTTGCAACACGTGACTGAATGCCTTTTTCGTTGTTGTATTGTCGTACCGTGGTAATGTACCTAAACAACATTTGCTATTTTAAAATACCATATCTTATAAGGAACATTCTACATCGAACAATGTTTGAAATGTGCACCACCACTTCATCAACTTTTTCCATATAGTGTGCGTTATTTCTTTACAAACATTTGTATAAATGCATGGTCTTTTGCAGTAAGTTCTCTCCATGTGGATTTATTCAGAACAGAGGTTACCATTCAATAATCTCTCATACGTTATACACGTATGAGAGATATTGAATTTTTCGTTATTTACGGATTTCTTTTAATAGTCAAATCAATATAAAACAATTCCCAGCTGTATTATTAACCGAAAGATCTCGCATTCAAAGTATTAATCTCACATACAACGTATTAGTCTCAAATACAACGTATTAGTCTCACATAAGTAAGTAAAATGGACTCCGTCGTTTCGACGTATGAGAGTTCCACACACAAAGTGGAACATCCTGGTCATTGAAATTATAGTGAAGGCAGCTGATCAGACTACAATCACTCCGTACCCTTCACGCAACTACAACGCTGATATCAGCGTGACACAGGGTGACAAGGCTGCAACATTGCAGATGCAGATACAGTCCATCGAGGACATAGTTTCCTCTACCAAATTTCCCTCACATGGCTTTGGTCAACCCGGGTTAGGTTTTCAGACACATTGCCAGATGTGCCACGAGCCGGGATTGAACCCGCGCCGTCTGGCTTAAAGCTCACGCAATTAACCATTCAGCCACCCGCCCAGTCTCACATACAACGTATTAATCTCACATACAACGTATTAGTCTTCCATACAACGTATTAATCTCACATATAACGTATTAGTCTCACATACAACGTATTAGTCTCACATACAACGTATTAGTCTCACATACAACGTATTAATCTCACATACAAAGTATTAATCTCACATACAACGTACTAGTCTCACATACAACGTATTTAAAAACGTCAGAAAATATATAGAGAAATGCGAACCTCAACTTAAATTGGAAATGTTACGCAAATATTACGTTTACTGCAAGATGGTAGTTTAAACAGTTCTTAAAAAGAACTATGAGGTACAAGCCTTTTATCACCATTGTCCAGTATTATTTGAAATAAAACATGTTTTGCGAAATTATTTATTCTAAATTATCTTTAATTGATTTAATTGATTAAGCTGAGATCAACTTTCCACATTAGCAAAGGCTATTGAAAACTGAGCTGTAGTCCAAGCAGCGTATTGCGTTATATCTTTTTGTTATTTTATAAAGGATAGATAAAAAATAGTCCTTTTTTTGTTTATTAAAATATGTTCATAGGAAATTTTATCAAAAACCTAAACAGACAAACAGTTAATTGCATGCAGTTTAACTTGTGCATTACCGTACGTTGAATGGGCCTCTAACATGTACACAAACCTGTTTACATTTTTGCAGTAAATTTTGTCTCAATTACTCCTTAGTAAATATTATTTTAATAAGATTGCCTTTTTAGTATAATGGGATGATGTTATGGACCTCCTTAAAGCTAAAGTTGATGTGTAGTTAATATGACTTCATCAAATTGATTACTTCTCTTTTCTTTCAGGAATACGCCCTTTTCGAATGGAATGCTTAAATCATTTCAGGCATTTTCCGAGGAGAAACCTGAGACAAGTTGCGTCATAATAATGGTAAAATCCATTGTGATGTTTAGGGTGAATTTTGAGCCCGTCACAAGTTGCTGATGATCGAGAAATTCATTTTGGTGATTAGAAAGAATATCATTCCGATGTAGCATGTATGTAAATTATCTCCACCAATACAATTGTTTGTTTGTGTCTCCATTCAAAGTCTTCTTGAATAACGGGGTTTCTTTTGAATTTAAAAATTACGAACAGTAATGGGCTTAAATGTAAGGTGTGTATGACTGCGTTCACCTGTGTGTGAATTTCTACTCAAATTTTAAATGAATAATATAGCGGCTTAACTCTATCTAAACAACAGTTAGACACACTGTGTTGTCTATAGGTTATGTGCAACGATTCTCTTTGGCGGGAACAAGATTGCTTCATGACAAACCAGATAATAATATATCAGATAGTCACATGACATGCATGATAAATCCAAGATGACGTTGGAACGAGGCAAAAAACATCAAAATTTTTTTGCAATTAACTTTCACCACAAACGTCAAAGAAATGAAAGAAAAGACGTCACTGCAAAACTATACCATTAAATCTGCCATCATTTGCTGAAGAAAAAAAATTTATTATTTCACCACAATATTTTTCAACAATTTTTTCCACGCTCTTTTAAAAGTATGATGATTGTAAAGGTTCAATTGAAAGAATTATTATCAAATGTCAATATTATGCAAAGTTTCATAAGATATATTCATCAAAGTTAAGAAACACAATATTTAAAATTTCTTTAAGGTTTTATTTTCATCTCAGTAAACTTTAAGGATTTGTTTTTTTTTCCAGTGATACCAATTCACACCACTTCCACTATATGCTCCTCTATAGTAGTGCCCATTCAGGTTGGAATAATGACAACTTTTATACCACCAAGCACCTTTGTAGTCAGTGGCACAACTTCTTCCTGATTTATCATTATCTGAATCTTTGGTTGAAAACGCCATGCCATTATGATAAGATAATGAATCTCCAGCATTTCCTAAGAAAAGTAATTTTGCTCAGAAAAATTAAAAATTTCGCTCATCTAATTTTGCTTGGAAACACAAAAATTACCGAAAAATAGCCTTTTTTGCTTTGACAGCTTCATTTTGAATGATTCAAACAATATTATAAGGATAGACAAGTGGGTTTTACATCCTTTTAGTGAAAAAACACGAGGGGTGTCAGTTTTGTATTCAAGTTATAAGGCATGTTTTCACGTGCCAAAAAAAAGTTCGCTTTTCATCCTTCTAAAAAGAAGCTTAAACATGTACAAATGTCGTTCAAACTTGTTTTATATTAAAGTCCAAACACTGTTTAAGGTTTTTAGACATTAAGCTGGCTCGAAGACCACTGTTTTTGGCAAAAAATCCTGCAATTTCGCAGTGGTGTATTTCGGCTCATTACCTCAATTGTTGTATTTTTTCGGTATGTTTTAAGCTCAAAGTTAATTATATTTTTATTGACAAACAAGGCTTTAGTTCGAAACCAACCGTTACTATCCGTTTTTATCAAAACTTGGAGAATCCCCCATCGCAAACTGCAATCATTCATATCATTCAAAAATATTGTATATATCAAAATGTTTTTTCCTCAAACGTTTATATTTACGTATTAACTTACCAGAATATTTACCAAGACTTAGTTGATATTTTTTATTTTCATTCTTTACAGCAAAATAGTCATATTCAGCATATGCTTCGTTTCCTGACCAGTCTCTCAGGTCTACACGAAGTTTATTTCTTCTTGCAGATGTTAGTCGGTATATTTTATCCAATCCAAGCCAGACTTCGCCTTTCAGATCACCAAAACCTTGTTTATAGTCTTTCCAACCTCGATAGAAGTTTACACTTCCATCTTGTCGTCGTTGAAACACAGTCCAACCTCCACCAGATGACTTCATATCACAGAAAACCTTAAAGTAACCCTGACCATCAGGATTAATTTGATAAACTCCGTTCTTTTTTTCACCTTTTTGTACAGATTTGCGCAGTCTTTCCTGGTAATGTAAACAAAGAGATCTGTCATGAAATAATATGTTGTTAAATGTCACTCTTGTTATCTTAAAATCATTCTTACCTCTTTCAGACTTTCCTGTGAGTTTTCTATTTTCTTTGTAAAGAGCTTTCAGTTGTTTTTCTAGTTTTTTTAGCTGTGCTTGAATTGTTGCTACTTTCACATCGATTGTTTTCATTTTTAATGACAAATTAATCATTTTAAGTTCAATTTTCTTAATTTGTTTTTGCAATTTTACTAATTTGTGCGTTTGTACATGTGTCTTGTTGATTTTGGAATGAAGCGCAATTTTAAATGCTTGAAGGTGCTTTGTTTGTGTTTGTAGATTTTTGTGATATTGTTTCAATGTCTTTATTTGCCCTTTTATTAATGCAATTTGCTTCTTTAATGTTAAATTTTTTTGAACAACTTTCAAATTGCGTCTCACGTCAAAGTTGAGCGATGAGAAATTATCTATTAAATTACTTTCTCTTTCCCTTGTTAACTTTGCTCTACAGAAATAACCACAGAAATGAGATCATACATTTACCATTTTTTACTAACCATAACCATTAGGACATAATACTCTTCTAATCATTGATTTAATATAGCCAAAAAATGAAATTCTTTTAAAACAAACTCGTAAATAAATTGATAACTTAACATAGTGGCTAATTTATAAACTTACTGAAAATGGCTTGATGTTTATAACGTAAGTAATAGCAAACATTAAAAGAAATCAAATGTCGCGTTAAGATACGCGGTAGAACATTATAGAAACATTGATAGCGTTCAATAAAGTTAAGAAAAAATCCCAAAATTAAACTTATCCTTCAATAATAACACCAATACAAAATGACTGACTTACCCTTCAATAATAACACCAATACAAAAAATTACGACCAACGCAAAAGCAAATTTTGCCATTTTATGGTATGTGATCGATATCCAAAAGCTTGGAGTGAGGACAAGATCATGGAAGCTCTATTTATGTATTTGGCCAACTGTATTTTAATAATTTATGGCGAACTATCGATGATGCATCCACGTAATTTCATGTTGAGTATTTATGAAGAATAGAGTAGTTTCAGCTGATAACAAAAGAGTTTAATTATTTGAGATTTAGACAGTAGCCATTTTGTGCTCGAAGTTTTGTCCAATGAATTTGCACTATTACAAGTTCTCCTTGATTATGCAATGTGTAAAAGACGAATTTTGCGCCACCATTTTATTGTATATTATCAAAAATGATGTAAATCAACTTGCACGAAAAAATTTTTGTTGTCTTTAGTATGAAAAGCAATTTTACTATTTATAAGGCATAATAGACACAACAGTTTGTCTACAAATTCAAGCTGAAAATATTGCATCATATGTTTGCAGTTTGTAGTTAATTACACATTCTGTTGTTTACTTATTTGACATTTTGTTGTATAAAACATAACAAATTTACAAAGTGTATAAATTTCTATGCCTAAAACTCAACCCAATTCTATTCCTGTCTACAAGTGATAGCTATGTATCCTTGTTTTCACATTCAAACTCAACACTAAATTAAATTAAGTAATTTATTCATACACGACTTACAAAGAAACCTTTATAACGTGGCACTCGATACAGATCATTTTCAAATATAGCTATATTTTGTGTACATACTTTTGATGCAGTAAAATTGATTACAAGCTGTATTTCGCCGTTGATCATTCTTAAAACAATTTATGTTGCAGCTATATTTAACCAAACAGGCAATAATTCCACCAGCTGTCTCCAGTATAAAAATTATATAAATATAACTCTATTATCTCAAACTGCGATGTTATTGTTAATATAAACTTTGCACGCACATTGAAGGAAATTGTTGTGTCACAACGAACAACACATGCAATTACGAACATATTAACGTTATCAACATGAATTTTGAAACTTCTACTTTAAAATAATGAATGTTAGGACATTCTTTTTTGAACGTGGTCCAAAATGAGAAAATGTTTTATTTACAGTTCATATCGCCAGCATGCTCATGTAATCCTGCTGTCAATCTTTCTGTGTTTATACTCACGGCAAAAACAATGAATTTAAATAGACATAAATAAGGATGATGAAAAGCTGGACTAAAACTTGAGAACTAAAAAACTAAACATCACTTGAAACATAGCTACCATAAAGGTACGTAGCTATAAACTTCTACCTCTCAAATTGACTAAAATTATCCATTTCAAAAAGTAGCATGTGTTGATGTGCTTATTTTTAGTTTCAGCAAGCTATTGAAATTGATAATTAATTCATGCTTTAATTTCAAAGGAAACGTAAAAACACAAACGTGGCATTTATAAAAATATACGTTATAATGATATTAGTTGAAGTAATTTCAGTTGTTGTATATTTCTTAAAATGATAAATTTCTCACTATTCTACAACATGTCTTTTTATTTATATATGTACGTTCATGCCTTATTTAAAACGTGATCTTTTAGAGAACCTGACATCGATGATCTAACTTGAATTAGTTGAATATGCCAGTATTGTATCGATTCTCTTGGCCTTTGTAAGGAACACGACAGTTTTACTAGACGTTTAATAAGAACTTGTATTTCCAAAGTGATTGACAATCATTCCTCTTTAAAACTTAGATATTTTTTACTGATGCATGTTGTTACGTTCTGGCAGAATTGTCTACACCGATCCTATTGATATTCACAACGTTTCTGAAGATTGCAGAGCGAGCATGCTGTGTACAATGGCTGGGTACTGCAATATAAAATTAATACGCATGCGCATCATTGCTTTTCTTTTTAGCGCGCTTTCGTCAGCGAGAGCGACGCTGAAGATTTTTGCTCTAAATTACTCATTACATTCCTAACGAATCGGAGATGACTTTAATCCACTAAGAAAACGATAAACTGTTACAGCAATGTGATTACCTTTCTTTAACATTTATAAATTTGATTCGGTGTTGTAATGTTGTTTTATTTACTATGCTTTTGGTAGAGGATAATTAAGCCACTGATATGTAAACTAAGCTGGACTATTTATCCACGTACATATATAGTAGGCTATGTGAACAAAAACGCTTCTCTCTACGGCAAGGAAACTATTGAAGCCAAAATTAACCCATCGAGTCAAGAAATTGTTGACAAACAAAAGAAAAAACAAGGGAAATATTACAACTGTGGCAGCAAGCCATTAATAGATCTCAACCTAGAAAATACAGTACGTATACGACCAGACCAGACACGTGCAGGACATGAAAGAAATAAGTGTGTAACCAGAAGTTTGTACCCACGTCGTACCAAGTTATTTCGGAAGGCTAAATATGCAGACGGAACAGAAGACATCTGGCGTTTACTAAAGAAAGGGAAAGATTGATACAGATTGTACTGAGGAAGAAAATGAACAATCTGAGTCCGAAGACCCAAATAAGCAATCGTTGCTGTTAAGTTCTCTACGCAAGACACGTCCACAAATGTCAGTATAGAAACCAATCAGGCACGACCAGACACCGACACATCAAACCCCTCAATCAATAGAATGGAGATTATGAATGAGTTGATTACACATCCTGTTGTTTACTTATTTGATATTTTGTTGTATAAAACATAACAAATTTACAAATATATAAAATTCTATGCCTAAAACTCAACCCAACTGTTTCCTGTCTACAAGTGATATACATCCTTTTGATATTCTGTCTCAGCACTCAATTCAACTAAGTAATAATCTGTATGCACGACTTACAAAGAAACCTTTAAAACGTGGCACTCGAACAGACATTTTCAAATATAGCTATATTTTGCGTACATACTTTTGATGCATTAAAATTGATTACAAGCTGTATTTCGTCGTTGACCATTCTTAAAACAATTTACGCTGCACGAAGTTATTTCGCCTTTAACACTTTATAAAGTATTAAAGTTTATTTGTAATGAAGTTTGTTAAGGATTCTGCTGAAAATTTTGGTGAGACATTTCTTTAAAATGAATATATTATTTCTATAACATGAAAAATTTCTGTTGTTGAAAAACAATCTGTTTGCTATAAATGCTACTGTTTGTAGTCTTTTATACAGCATGAGTCATCATCATCATCATATCTTGTCGCGCCAGGGCGATCCAAACTCGGGCTGGAAGTTTGAGGGTGTTGCGCGTGTTGTAGCAATCAGTCGAAATCATGGACGGCACGTGAAGCCTTGCTACTTGTCCCCATATGAGTTTTATCCAATCTTTAATTTAGGAAAGAGTTAAATATATGGGTTGAGGAATGACACAACTTCTGTATGTGTTTAATGATCATACAGGGGTGAATTGTAGGGGGCTCAGCCCTGTTTGTCCAAATTTTATGCCTTGTATTGCCAGTTAAATACATATATATCAAAAAGCTAGCAGCACTTTAAAATACATCGGAAAGCCAGCAACTTTTAATATATATCAGAAAGGCAGCAACCGTTGTAATATACATTAAAGAGCTCAAATAGCTGAAATTATGGAGATATGCCTCTGTGATCTTATAAACCAAAACCTACAATTAAAATATCATTGACAAGTCTAGAAGAGAAGTAATGTTCTACTTTGAGCTACAGAATTAGGGTATATTTGTAAAATTCATTACCAAAAATATATTGTACTCAGCTGTTTCAGTGAATATCCTAATTATAATTACTTTATTTTTAAATGATGAACTATAAATACAAACTACAACATGGAAAATCGTAAGAGTTTCTGTGATTTGGTGTAGTTGTTTGTTTTAGTGTGGAAGTGGCTAAGATTTGTGAAGTGTGTGAATTGACCCATTTCAGAACATAATGAGAAATCATCTTCGATTAGAAAACAAGCCTTGGAGTAAGAAAACTATTGAAACTGCATTAGCACGAACTTTACAATGTTATTTGTTCCAAAAATGGTTCTCTACTTGAGTCAGTTAATTGAACCTTATATCAAAAGCAGTTCAGCACAACAATCACCATACGCAATAAAATTTCGTAAGTTCGACGTAAAGGCATTTCTTTCATTTTACGCATTATTATCTCAAAATACTGTATTACTAGCAGTAATTTACGGTGGCCCAGAGGTGCAATACACAAGCACAAATTCAAATACACAAACACAAATTATAATATGCAAAATTCATATCCGGTTAATTTGCCAGCCAAATGTGTTCTGAATTTACAAAGTTGCCGAAGTGCAGAATATTGTCATATTCTTATATTTTCGTTTTATTTCGAGAAAGTAAGATAAATACAAAACATTCGTGAGGTATTTATTACATTTAGCGTTCATGTATATGTTCGTATTATCTTTCCCGGCTGTTGGTAATGTAAACTTGAACACCATGTTTTGTACAGTATGCAGAGTTCACTAAATTCAAGGGGTAATTTTTGTGCTAACTGGGGGACGGATCTTCGAAAGTCCGACGAATTAAAGACCTTGCGGAACAGTGATCCATCAACATCAGCTGGGCCTTCTACTGATCTTTGTGCCACCAAACTTTGACTTTTAAAGAGTATTTGGCAGATATTTCATTTGCCACTGTTGAGACTAGGAAGCGTCAAGATCGTTTTGTCTCCACGAAAAAGAGGAAGAAAGATGAGACTGTCAAGGTTTGTGATTATTACTACCTCTGCAAATAGGTCATGTCAATAATTATTTGAAGGATGGGTGATGGTAGTGAATAATTATATTCAATGCTTGTTTTATGTAGATATTAGTTATGTAATTCCCACCTATTTAAGCTGAAATATAAAATGCTGCTATAGAAATTTGTTTTTTGCAGTCATTCGAATCAACACGATAATACTTTTGTGGCATGCTTTAAAAAATCAGGCTCAGGTTTTCATGGAGAAGGATGGAATAGTATTTTCCATTTAAATGTCTAATTACTTTTTCATTCTTCATCAAACATTTTGTGATGCCAGATCATGAACACCTAGTAACTCGATATTTTTTCCACTCCAGATAAACATTGGAATTATTGAGCTGGATGGGAATCATTTGAAAATTAAGCGAGGCTCACTTCTTCCTATTGATGTAAAAAAATGTGATTCTCATGTTGTCATAAAAACTGCTGGGGTGGAGAAGCAACTGCCTCACAATAAGCAACTCCGTGATGAAAGTTCCGAATAGGTTTTGTTGTACCCAGATATGGAGTTTTATATTTACCAGGCACAACAGAAACATTTTCTGTAGAAAAGTACAAGGAGTCCCTTGGCAGGCCATGCAAGTCGTGTGAATTTGTATGTTTGCAAGACTTTGGATTATGAAAGTGAGGAGGTTTTCTATTAATTATTAAAAACACTTTGTTAATGTGTAGGCAATTTATTAATGTTGATTAACACCTAATTATGAGCATTTAGTAATCAAAGTAATTCTGTAAGGTCAAGTATATAATAATTTTTGCACCATTTGGTTAATTTTATGAAACTATCATGATACAAATAAAATTAAACACTTACTCTATAAGGAGCTAATATTGCACATTAATACTGTAAAAGACAACATTCATTTAGATGTTATACTTGAGAATTCCAATATGAGTGCATAAGGAAATCAGCAAAAGTGTGTTATGCAACAATCTTTATTTAAATAAATGACATATTTGATAAAAATACAAATATTTGTTTTGTAGTTGCTAATGAATTAGTTGATGATGTTGTGGAAGAGCAATTAGATTTGGAAGAAATCAGACTAACAAAGACTCAAAATGAATCATTGTGCACAGAACCACAGCTTGGAGAAGAATCACATTCCACAACTTTGGTTGGACTGTCATCTATTGATGATGCAACTTTAACACAACATGCACTGGAGAACCTCCAAAATTGTGATGCTTTTGAGATGAATACTTTCCAAGGTTTGTGAGTACTATATAGTCTACTTGTTCTTGTCTGTCTTTTTACGGAAAAGATGTTCTACTTACATATTATAGAAGAAAAATATCCAGTAATTTGATGTTCAACTAATATTTCATGAAATGATGAGTGGGTATTGTGATGATCGTGCAAAATATCATTGTGAATTCATTCAAAGAATGTGGATGAATGGAATTTGAAAATAGAACAGTCAGAAATGTTGTGGCTTGTCACCCATCTTTAGTATATTAAGTGTTGTACATTGCAGGTGAAAGTTCTGAAGGGGCTGCTTTTGTCCCAGAAAGTATGGCAAATGAGGTTATAGAGCGAGAAGTGTTGCTTATTCCTCGTTGTAATGTGAAAGCTGATTTGCTGCACTATTTTGAAAAAGGTGATATTTTAAAGAAGTGTGTGGATGTCAAGATGATAGATTCCAGAGGTGTTGAGGAAAAGGGCGAAGGAGTCGGCGTTGTCAGGGATGCATTTTCTCTGTTTTGGAATGAAATAGTTTCATGTCAGGCGAGGATGAACGAGTCCCAGTGATTCGTCATGACGTTTCGCGGGTAAGTGGCAAGCGATAGCTAGAAATCTTGTGAAAGGTTACACTCAAGAACGCTATTTTCGAATAAAAATTTCTCGCGTTTTCTTGTGCTCCTGTCTTTTTTCGAAGATTATGTCTCAGAAGATATGTACCTGAGTTCCTTTATGAAGTATGTTTCGACCACTAAGTCTAGTGTGGTTGAAAATGTACTCTCATTCTCTTGCAGTTGATGATGAAGATGTATAGGATTTTTAACAGCGTTTGAGTGCAAAATCTAGCGTTTATACAGCGTTTGCCGTATAGCTTTTTCCCTCGGTGTTTTGCCGTATAGCTTTTCCCTCGGTGTTTTGCCGTATAGCTTTTTCCCCTCGGTGTTTTGCCGTATAGTTTTTTTCCTCGGTGTTTTGCCGTATAGCTTTTTCTCTCGGTGTTTTGCCGTATATATTTTTCCCTCGGTGTTTTACCGTATATATATTTTTCCCTCGGTGTTTTGCCGTATATATGTTTTTCCCTCGGTGTTTTGCCGTATAGCTTTTTCCCTTGTTGTTTAGCTGCCGGAGGTATTGTGTATTCCAGGTCGAAAATCACGCAAATATTTGTGTTTTTTACAATCTTATAAAAATTTGCGCAAAAGCTGCGTTTTTATCCGCCTCGAAATCATCCCAAAGGTCTGCTGTTTTTATATCACCTAAACTCTTTGATATTTCAGGTATTTTCAGTTCGTACGTATTTGTAAGCCTATTATGAAACGAATGAAATCACGTTAGACGAGATTGAAAAAGTTATTGACGAAGCTGACAGGTAAATTTTATAACAATCGTCCTCTTATATTAATATAGTGCAAGATAAATTTTTAAAATTCATTTTTAGGTTTCTATGACGTAGTTCTCGTTTATTCAAGGTTCAGTTAAGTCAGTTTAGGGTTTACTGACATCATTAAGGTCAGTTTTAGGTATACCTAGGGCTTGTCAAGTTATAACTGATGCAATTAATACATAACTTTTGAAAACAATTCTCTTTTATCACATCGGCTATTCGTGTACTTATTTAGCCATTGTACGCAAGTGCTTACATATTGGTATTGGTTTTGTCTTTCTGCGAATAAATGTTTTAATTTTACTTATGTTTTAAAAATATTCCTGAAACATCATTCAGCTTTGTTTTTCTTTTCTTCTATAGATTGTCTCTTCTTTCTCATTTCTTTTTTTGGCAATGTTTTCAATTCTTCAAAGTTATAAATCCTCGATCAATATTGGTTATCTCGTAAGTAGATGAACAGTTAAATAGTGTTGTTTACCGTTAGATTTACATCACGTGACTGAATTGCCTTTTTCTTTGTTGTATTGTCGTACCTTGGTATTGTATCCTAAACACCATTTGCTATTTTTAAAATACCATATCTTATAAGGAATATTCTACATCGAACAATGTTAGAAATGTGCACCACCACTTCATCAACTTTTTGCAAATAATTTGCGTTATTTCAACACAAACATTTGTGTAAATGCATTGTCTTTTGCACTAAGTTCTTTCCATGTGGATTTATTTAGAACAGATGTTAGTCAGCAATAATAATGTATCAAACTTGTACATAATGAGCACAATACATACGAGCAAACCTTCACCTATATAGGAAATGTTACGCAAATACTACATTTACTGCATGATGACAAATTTCAGTACCTTTCATAAAACCAAATTGTTTATGACGATTTTTAAAATTATTTGTTGGGCTCTAATATTTATATTGAGAATCCGCTTCCCGCCTGGCACTTCATTGGCAACAATGCCTTTAACAAAAATATATGTATGCTAATACTTCAAACTAGAAATAGGTTTTGGTCACAGATTTGCATTACGACATTTTAGTGCGTACAATTCTGAGAGTACTGCAGTAGCCTGCCCTTCCAAATAAAAAGTAAGTAGAAATACTCACTCACTTTAACTTTTTCAAACGTAGTTCCTGTCTCATCAGCTGCCTTTTGTATTGTTTCATGTTTCTCCTTTGCCGTTGTATTCATTCCCTGATCGTAATAAGACTTCAAGATAGCTTTTTGCAAGTCAATTAATACTTCATACTGTATTCCAGTTGCCGCCATCTAGATATGGTACACGTGTGTCGTGTGCATGTCGTGTGTTGATGATATATAAATTGGTGCATATATAAATTAAATATGGCGTCAATGAGAACGCTTAGAGGATCTCCTACATCACATACATGCGACGTTCTCAATTTGAGAAGTCTTGCTTCAGGCGATTGAGAACATGCGACACGGGTAATGATTTGAATTTTTTTCAAAACCGGCTTTTAATGACAAACTGTTATTTGTAAATAAACGTCTTACCTACAAATATGTAGAATTATTTGCAGGTAGTTGACCAATCAAAAGTGACATTGCTTACATAGTGAATAATGATGTAAGATTATTGCATGAAACGTATGATACATCAAGATTGCGTGAAACGTGGCAAAAAGATAGATTTAGCTACTTACAGAGCAACATCTCATTAAAGAAATGAGTGAAAAGACGTAACCTTAGAATCATATAATTACCTAAATCAGCTCTAATTTATAGGGATAATATTTCACCACAGTTTTTATAACAAGTTTTTAACGCTTTTTTAAATGATAATGATTATAAGGCTCTTTTAAATGACATAAAAGCTAAAATGTTTTTACTATATGTTGAAAGTTTCATTAGAAATAATGATCAAATTTATAACATCACAGTTTTTGGAAATTCTTTATGGTTTTATTTTCATCTCAGTAAACTTTAAGGATTTATAAACTTTCCAATGATACCAGTTTACACCTTTGTATTTCTTTTGGTTGCCACTATAGTAGTGTCCATTCAGGTTAGAATCATAACAATCCTTATACCACCAAGCACCTTTATAGTTAGTGGCACAGTTTCCTCCACGATACTTATCATTATCTGAATCTTTTGTTGTAAACGCCATGCCTTTATGATAAGATAATGAATCTCCAGCATTTCCTAAGAAAAGTAATACCTTTCAAAAATGGCATTTAATGCAGTTATAGAATTCTTCTGAACTTGCAGAAACTCCCCCAAAAAGGGTTTTACGTCAATGGTAGAAGATTCTTATAGCGGTTTTTTGGGGGCTTTTATGAGATTTGCCAATCAGTTTTTTTTATTTTATGTAGTAAAAGTGGAAGGACTGATATAAGTGTATACATTATATAACACTGAGTTTTCATTTCTTATATTTTGGTGCATGTGGGTATCAAACCACAATCACATTATAATATTGTTACCATTTCTCAAAAACTTCTTGTAGCTGATTTATTTAACAATTTGCTATAAATCTTGTTTCAAAATGGAATAAATATATTGCAAAGGTAAAATTTGTCAAGACTTTGACTTTGATCCTACTCTCATTTCCCAGAACATTATTTCTACATTCAGCCTTAACTCATTGCTCTCACTTCTATGTTAATTAATGAATGGTATTTAATTTTTATTGTAATAGAACTTTAAAATTCTTTATTGACTTGATGATATACCTGTAGTGTTGTCCGAGACTTAATTTATATCTATGTTTTTTATTTTTCTATATGTAAATTTATCCACATAAACTTGAATGAATTTTAGTAACGTTTATATACTTATAAATTCATTATATATGTAGTGATGTTGAAAAAAATCACGAAAACCGAAATACCGGGCTTGTGACCGGTATAGCAGAGTATACCTCTGGGACATGTAACGCAAGGCTCTCTGCTTTTGAGCAGACTTGTCTTGTTTACTAGGAAGAGGAGTGGAAGGTTAATTTTCAAATGTTGTTAGATAAGGTCGTTATTGTTTGTAGTTGTTGGATAGAGCACTATGCTATCATTTTCTTGTTTATACATATATAAATAATCTTGGAATGGAGGCCTACATTTAAAATCATATACTGCAGGCTTGCATACCATTGACATAAAAGGTTTTAATGTTCATTTAAGTCCACATAATTTAGCAATGTTTTAATCCACGATGTTTAGGCGCATGCTCATTACCTGTTAACAAAGCTACAATTGAGTTTTCATTTAATCTTAATGATACGGTAACCGCAATCCATGAATGATCTCTTATTGTAACTCAAAAATTGTTTTCGTAGGGTGCAACTTAATCATTCACACAACAAAATGATTTTTTATGGTTGTTCAATGTATTTTGTTGTAAGTTTGTAAGATCAAATTGAGTATGTTTTTTGAGATCTAACAAGACTTCCGCTTAAAGTTCGTTAACCGTTAAGATATCTATGTTTCTCCCAAAAATGGAGACTTGTACATGGAAACTGGAATCACTCAAATCATTCCAAAGTATAATGCTTATATCAAAATATTGCTTAGAAATTTGTCCATCAAATGTTTATATTTACTTATTGACTCACCAGAATGTGCACCAAGACTCAACTGATATTTAAGTGCTTCATTCTCGACAGCAAAATAATCATATTCAGCATATGCTTTGTTTCCTGACCAGTCTCCCAGGTCAACACGAAGTTTATTTCTCTTGGCTGATGTCAGTCGGTATATTTTATCCAATCCAAGCCAGAATTCAGAAGTAAGATTACCAAATCCTTGTGTATAGTTTTTCCAATCTCGATAAAAGTCTACACTTCCATCTTGACGACGTTGAAACACAGTCCAACCACCACCAGATTTCTTCATATCACAGAAAACGTCGAAATAACCCTGGCTATCTGGATCAATTTGATACACTCCGCTCTTTTTTTTACCTTTTCTGTAAAGATCTGCACAGTCTTTTCCTTCAGCTAAATGATAAAGAGGGAATTCAAATTCGAACCCTTCTATTCTTACAGAGCTTATAAGTTATATACGTATGACAATATACAGTTATATTCTTCTCTTGTCTTCTGGAAATAATTCTTACCTTTTATTTGGGTTTGCATGAGATTTTTATTATTCTTGAAAAGCTCTTTAAATTGTTTTTCAAGACTTTTTAGCTCCGTTTGGGCAGTTGCTATTTTTGCTTCAAGTGTTTTCATTTGTAATGATAGCTTAATCATTTTAATTTCAAACTTCTTGATTTGTTTTTGTAATTTTATAAGCTTACCCCTTTGTGCATGTGTCTTGTTAATTTTTGATTGAAGCTCTATCTTAAATGTTTCAAGGTGTTTGTTTTGTGTGCCAAGTTTTTTGTGATATGCTTGAAGTGCAGCTATTTGTGCTTTTATAGATGCAATTTGTGTCTTCAATGTTACATTTCTATGTCCAGATTTCAAAGTGCGTTTCATGTCGAAGCTTATTGATAAAAAATCCTTTTTTGAATGATCTTTTACATTGTTTGCTCTCGCTCTATACAGAAATAGAAACAAAGTAATACAAATTACAATAAAATCATCTTTTATACGACATATATTAAAAATATGTAATGTTTCGCCTCCTTTAAAACCTGAAATATTTTTATTACAAACATTTACATTCAGTAAATTTAAAACAAGTTTAAAACTTACTCTTGCATGAGAGCACCAATGCAGCCAAATACCAACAATGCATAAGTGAAATTCGCCATCTTGTAAAATATCTAAAGCCAAAGCAAAAACTCTGCGTGCAGACAAGATAGGGGAAGCTCTATTTATGTGTTTTGAAAAATGTAAAATTCTTAACAACTTGATGACGATAACATGTTTTTCCTGCTAAGTATCTTTGATCAATTAACTTGTTTCAGCAAATCTTGAAGTATTATGAATAATTTATTCTTAAATTGTGAGAGACACTTCATTTTTGACTATAAGCATGAACTAAACTGAACTTTTGTACCAGATTGATTTTATACTTACTAGGGAACTATGTTTTTTACATAGTTCAGTTTGAAAATTGCTCGCCCATCTTACCGCTATATTTTTTATTCATTAATAGCATATTAATTGATAAAATATCAGACAGACAACTTCGAATAGATTTTATTTAGGAAATGCAGAACACCAGAACATCTCTTTATGATTTTATAAAACATACGAAGAGAAAAAGTTAAAATCTTCAAACTCTAAATAAAAATTATACAATATTTTTGTCACGTTATTTTGACCAACAATGCTGTTAAACTATGAAATACATGATTAAGAGTCATTTTTTGTAGATGTAATAATTTAAACTAATAATATAGCTGGTTTGTTATGATCAAATTTAATAAAAAGCGTTTTTTGAATTACAATTCGTCCTACTACTGAATGGTAATATTCTGGAATGTTTTATTGGGGTCTGCCTTTCATTATCCAAGTGTGTACACAAATATATGTATTCTTCACATTAATTTTGTTGTGCTTTCAACGTAAGTGCAGAATTCTATACCGTCCAACGAAATTGTGCATTAGTTGTCAATAATAAAATGTTGTCGTCATGGAGATAAGAGCAAGAGGGTTTTATAGTATTTGCTGGAACTTTCTAATATGCTTATGAATCAACATTAAAGAAGAGCTAAAAATCAAAACAGAATGGAAAATGTACCAAAAGCATTTCTTCAATCAAGATAACTGTTCTTTTGGCGATCAGCCTGTGATTTATTAAAGGCACAATAATACCTTCACATCATTAACTATTTATTATAAGTCAAGTGTTAACTTTCTGGTATGTTAAATAATAAAGCAGGTATATTAAGTTTTGAGAAAACATTTTTGTTGATATATCACCGCCTTTTTCTCGAGGGTACCTTCAAACGGCGTCAAAGTTTGCAATTTTATTTTAATGCCAAAGTCCATTATGAAAAGTGAAGAGGCAGCTAAAGCCATTTATCTTCATAAGAAGTATAGAAAAACTCAATCAAATAAAAGTTAAACATTGTACAAAGAATTAATTATTTTGTTTATCCTTAAAAAACAAAATGAATTTATCACATTTTTGAAGGCTTTTCTGTAGCATTTTTGTTTAAGCATGTATGTAATTAACTTTCATTGACATATCTATAACTTTATACTGACGACAACTTCCTTCAGCACCATTCATATCTGAATATTCAATTTGCCAAATCAAAGGTGTATAAACTCAATAAAAAAACAACAATTTTATAGACTTTATTATTTCAATCACCTCATTTTAGATTTTTTCTTGCTTCTGTGCTTCATATATATTTGTTGTACAGATTGCCTGCCCATTACTGGACGTTAGTATTGTAAAGAAACTGCTGCTTCTGCATTTTTCATTTCTCCATGAAAACACTGCTCAATTAGCAATCGCATTGGCATTACATATAAACTGATAAAAGGATTCAAAGAGGATAGCTTCTAAATACACTGGTACAATACCTTTTGGCTATCATGAATCAAGTATTCTCAATTTACAAAAGTAATCTAAATAAACGTTTTTTTCTTGTATACAGATAATAAAACTCTTATACATACAATTTGAAAGGCCGTAGTATATAAACCAAAGAGGAGTAAAGTTAACATATAAGGTAAGAATACATCTCCAGAAATATTTTGATATTGAACTTATTGATACACACGTTGTTGTCATGGAGACAGCAGCAATTTTGTGAATAAAATTTTGTACATCGATCTGTCCAGCATTTATTAGTTTTAAGAATTACGAAATACGTTAATGTGTTAACGTAATAAGATATGCAGAAACAAAAATTTAATGAAAAAACGTGTTGAAAAGATATTTGTACAACTTGTCTGCTCCACAGAAATTACTTGTTTGATATTTACTATAAAGAATGTTTAATAAGTGAAGTGTTTGCATTCTGGTCGATTCAGAAATAAAACAGGTATGTCAAATAACGCCTGGAGAAGAATTTTCCAAAGATATACCAAATATTTCACACGTTGGGTTACAAGTTGTGTTAAGTTGTGTTACTAAAATAAAGTAAGGAAAAGCAGAGAGGCTAAAACTTTTTATCTTCTTAAAAATAAAAAAAATAGTGAAATGAACAATAGTTGAATGTAAATGATGTGAAGTACATTGACGCCATTGGAGAACAGTCAGAACATTAAAAATATTTTATTGCAAATTAACGCTCATTTATCTTGTTTCTTTCGTAATTCCTTCGAAGCACATATCTCTGAACCAGCATCAACATAAACTATTAAGCTTGTTCATTCTTGAAGATGTTTCTGAACGTTACTTGCTCGCACTTGAATCTGTAATTGTTTGTTCAAAGAGAGCAATTGAAAAATTCCAGCAATAAAACAGCATTAATAGAGTCTTTCTATAAAATGTTTTACACGTATACATTACTAATATAATGCTGAAATATTTTTAGATAATGAAATTTTCAGACTATATCACGAATTATTACTGGTTTATGTCAATGATTTAGAACCCAATCCTCTAGATGTCTAACTACCGTGTCACTCCATCTTGAAAGTTGGCAAAAAGCAAATCTCAAAATGAAAAACAATCTAATGTTCAGATTTCTTTGAATTCGCTTACAGAGTCAAATACCATAACGGAGCTGTTTGCATTACAAGAGAAACCACACTAAAACTAATAAGTATTCAAACTTTGTAACTTAAGACAATCTACCTGTCCACTGTTCAGTCTACAATGAGTCTTTCTGTCTCTCAGCTTTTTAGCGTTTGACAATCAATGTATCTATAGAGCAAAATCTAATTTTTGCAAATTATCTAATCATAAATGTGCATGCATATGTTTGTTTAATAACTTATAGAGCTAAGACATTAACAAAAACTTCCCTAAGAAAATTACCTGGAAAACTCTATCTATTTGGAATTATTCGATCTATTCATTGTTTTGACTCAAGATAAATACTGACTCAGTAAACATTTTAGAAGAAAACAAGACATGTCGTTTGTGTCATGTATTCAGTCAAAAAATAAACAACACGCGAGTATTAAGCACACAACTTAAAATATTTTGAACCAAGTAGGGAAATTGGCGTCCATTTGACGGAACTGCAATGTTGAAATAAATTTCATTACAATTATCAAACACACAATTATCAAGCAAATATTTTGCAGTTCCTAAATGAATCTTGTAAACCTGCATACATATACAATCCACCACGAATTCCTGAGAAATCTATGCCATGGCATATGTCAAATAAAGCTTGCATTTTGATGTCTTGAAACGTCTCAATACGAATCAAAATAGCAGCACAATAACTAATAAAAATATTTGGCTCTTTCGAAGTATAAATTGAAAATAGAGTAGTTAAGGCTTGTTGGAATTTATGTATGGATTGAATTTAATTATTTTCAAATATATAATAATCAAGCATGACAAATCAAGTCACTCGGCTGTGGTTTACAAAATCTAACACTTTCTTCACTTAAAGTATTTATGTTCTATATGGAATTTATTAAAAGCTTAACTTAAATTATCTCTTGTTCTGTATAATCTGTAGTTTTCAAGATTGTGAAAAACATGTGGCACAAATACAAGAGCCAAGCAAAGAGAAGTTTGTTAAACATGTTTTGATAAGACTGTAGGTTGTATTTCTTCAATGCGTTAAAAGCATTAAGTAATGACCAGAAACAAAATCGCGTAACGACAAAGAACTGTTTACATTACATTTATTTATGTTTGGATTTATATACACAAAATTTATTTAAGGAGCATTGTTAAAAACCACAGCAAATTCCTGCTTGTAATTTTTAATGGTTTGTATGAAAGCCTTTTACTATTTTAACAAAGTTTGCAAATGGGTTCCATGGTGGTTAAATTTAAGGAGAGAAATTTGATGAAATAATTCATGAAACCGTTGTACTTCTTCTAACAATGTCGGGTAGGCATTTGCATGTTCCCCCTCATTTTCTCTAGGCTGATCTTGACTCCGTTTCTGATCAAGACGTGTGGCCTGTGAACGCTATATTCTCTATTCTAAGTTTGAGCTTGCCAGGGCTGAGTATAATTCTTTCTTTCCCCTCTTTCTTTCATTGATCACAATATTCATCAAACTTAAAACATGGTCTTCTCTGTCTCATTCCTTGTTCCATCAACACCTTTTATAAAATAAACACAATGAAACACGTGCGGCGATTGGTCTAGATCTTTATTTGCATAAGCCTGTGCAAATCACATCTGAGCTCAACTATTCAAATCAATCATAACAATCAATCAATCAAAGAGAATTTGCAAATCGATCATGAATACATTTTAAAGGAAAAATTAAAATGTTTGACTTTTTTACATTATTATTATTTTATAAACGAAATAAAAGATGTTTTTCGTGTTTGCACTGGCTTATGCAAACCTCAGAGACGTTTGTGAAAATTCGAGAGCAGAAGCAACCTCGACCTTCGGTCTCAAGCTTGCACTGATCTGCTCTCGAGTTCTCTCAAAGGTCTCTCGATTTGCATAAGCCTGTGCAAGCACAGTAAACATCTTTTAATTCTTAGAGATAATACATAATAGATTAATATTATCTAATATGATGCTTTTCGTTGCGACTATCTAAGGCTTGGTTAAATTATTTTGAGATCTGACTCTCAGGACTGAGAGACTAAATTCATGGTATCCGGAGCCATCTGCAGCGACTTTGGGAAGGAAAATTATTGTTAGCATGCAAGATTCAGTGTTTAAGTTGTAGTGCAAATATGACAGAGTTAACTGTCGAGAGAACTTTTCCATTAGAAGATTCACCAAGATCTTATCAGGACAGACATCTGGTAGCGCTCACTCTGGAGTAATTTGAATATTTGGCAAAAAAGTGGATGTTCATGTGCTTTAAATCACTCTTTGCTAAAGAAAATAAGACGTTGAAATCATCATTAAAATTTACACCCTTGCAGTCAAATCTGAAAATAATGTCAAAGCTTACAGAAAATAAAGTATGTACTCATAGTCAGATCCAACATCATATATTGTAAATTAATTCATTACTAAACGATCTGAACCCCATGTGATTCAGTGTGGTTCATCAATACAAGGATTAGTCAAACTATAAAACGAACACAAACGGCATGCTACATTTCGTGTATAGAAAAGAATTTAAGTGTTCCTTCGATGCTTCTACACAGTTGATTGCGCCAACTTGTTGCAAAGATTCTGTGCAGAAAATTAATATAGTCAACTGTGTCGATGAGAGCCAAAAACATATTGTTTTAAAACGGTAAATTCATTTTTCAGGTTTTATGAATGGTTCACTCTAGCCAACGTTGGTTGATGGAGGCTCCATAAGGATCATGCCTATGCCAAGTAAGATTGTTAACATTGTAAATACCATTCTATGCATTTATGTGCCCATTACCCAAAATGCGTAAATAAAACGTTAAATGTGGTGATGTGTTTTTATTAACTTATATTCTCTACTGATATCTTTTGTAAGTGAATTTTTATTTCAAATGTAGTAGGCCTAAAATGAATATATGAATATACAACTACCGACCTAACCGTCCTCACTCCCCATGAACGTTATGCCTCTGCTTGAATCACAGCTATATACAGTGTTTAAAAACTGGAGAACACTTTGATTGATATACATATTGAATTAGTTTGCTGCATAAATTTAACAGTATTCTATGAATTTCATATCAGTTTCATGCATTGACAAAGCCATTACTTCCCGAGGAAATGAAACAAAGGCCTTTCAATGCTGTTTAATTTATGCAGCAAATAACTAATTCAACAATATGTATGCATAAGCGTGTTCGATGAACATTTCGTTGTTTTGAAAGTACCTATTTATGTCATTACAACCATTTCACACATAGAGAATACAAAGATGTAACCGACTCTAATGGTTGTCTCTTACTTCAATATGTGTGCTTTGATGTAAGAGAATATATTTTCATTTTGGCTAAGATGATTATCTATTGATGGACAGTTAACAGCAGTTAACTTAAGTGACTTTAGTCGACTTCATGCAAGGATGGTGATTATTTTGTCGTGGAAACACACTGGTAGGGTGCTTGAGACTTCATGCAAGGATGGTGATTATTTTGTCGTAGGAAACACACTGGTAGGGTGCTTGAGACTTCATGCAAGGATGGTGATTATTTTGTCGTAGGAAACACACTGGTAGGGTGCTTGAGACTTCATGCAAGGATGGTGTATATTTTGTCGTAGGAAACACACTGGTAGGGTGCTTGAGACTTCATGCAAGGATGGTGATTATTTTGTCGTAGGAAACACACTGGTAGGGTTGCCGAGACTTCATGCAAGGATGGTGATTATTTTGTCGTAGGAAACACACTGGTAGGGTGCTTGAGACTTCATGCAAGGATGGTGATTATTTTGTCGTAGGAAACACACTGGTAGGGTGCTTGAGACTTCATGCAAGGATGGTGATTATTTTGTCGTAGGAAACACACTGGTAGGGTGCTTGAGCACCTCTAAATTGTAAAGTCTGGACTAAAGATTTTTACAATTATATCCAAGATCTGCAGCGTAAGTTTTCCAATATCAATAATATGAATATTTTACAAAAATAACTCTCAGAGTATATTGATTTTACTTAACAGATAATTGATGTGTTGAGTTGAGAAATGTCAATTATAGAAACTCCAATGCTCAGTGAATATAATGTTTATGTCTCTTTTACTATATATGTATTTACGTTCGGCCAAAGTACCCCAATACAAAAAGAGTTGCTCAATAGCTAGCTTCTAGTGTATGATCGCTTTAGAGCCTAAATTTTTTATGAATTAAGGACATAACAGAGACTGGAGATTGGGCTATAAATGAAATGGGAGGCTCAATACTCTATGTTTGTATGATCTCCGAACGTTGTGAAAACAAACTACTACAGTCTACAGGGCTTGACATAGTTTCAACTGTTCTGCAGTTTATAAAGTTGTGTCTAGCGAACCTTTAGAGGTTGACTAATATCAGTAACATTTGGTGATGTGAGTATAGAAGTGATGTACTCATTTACGTACATATTATTTGGACAAATGGCTGAAATTGTGAAAAAGAAAGAAACAACCTGGATAGCCAAAGTTACACTTACGTATGATTGATGAAGCAAGAAATTAAAAACGAGAAGATTTCAAACATGGCGGAACAACATTTTATGACACGAGCACCAAGTTTATGAGCAATTTTTTATTTTTGCAATTGGTTATTTATTCAAAACCTTAGTTTAAAATTTTTATTATATTTACATAGTCAACCATATTTACCAGTTACCACAAAACATTAACAGAAGAATTACACGGTTTGTTCATATATTCTTCATTGACGTGGCTTTTTACAATGTTTTGAGTTGGTAAAGTTTTGTGACTTCATAACGATCAACCGACCTCTTCAAAATCTTAACTTCGTCAATATATCCTGCATGATCTTGTCCATAAATTCTGCCACCAATAACCACATCGGAATTGCTGCTGACGATGTTACCACGACAACAAAGTCTGTCGATAAGAGCGAGACGATTGTTGTGGTAAAATGAGACAGTGTATCCGTCATACGTCATCACAAAATGATGCCAGTGATCAATGAATGGCATTGTGATGTTGTCCCAAGATTTCCTGGATTGTGACGTGACTAAAGTAGCTCTTATGGTGTCCATTGTCCCACCGTTATTGAACAAAGGATTCCCCAACTTCCAGTAGAATCACTTTGATTATTGATGAAGTTGCTGATAATATTACTTGATATACCACCTGACTTTTTGAACCAAATACTGATTGTTAAACTTGAAGCCCACTCATATCCATTTAGAGTTGGTACATGTAGCTCGGAAGAACGCGAATTGAATTTGGCAGCTCCACGAACGATTCCACTTGATGATTGCAAAACATCTTTGGATTTACCATAATGTAAGGCATTATTACCTTGGCATACATCTCGCAATGACTTGTCAAATTTGTAATACGCAATAATATCCTCGTTACATTCATTTTTTTGAATGTATTGACCTGAAATGTAAAATGGAAATTTAAGACTAAATTATCGTTAAGTACATCCTTCGCAAAGGATATTCAAAGGATACTCAAATAATACTTGAGGGATACTGAAGAGATATTCAAGGTAGTCAAGGGATAATCAAGAGATACTCAAGGGATACTCAAAGGACATACAAGGAACACTCAACAGTATATTCATATGCAATTCATGCGTTAATTGAATATCTTTTACAATGTATATTGATGTATATTTGAAAATGTGTAATCTTGTTATTTGATCTCTTATCAAATTAATTATGCAAAAGCTTAATTGATGCCATTTGATGACGACTGTCACAAGTTTCTTCACGAGATAAACACGTTTGCTGAGATGAATCATAAATTCAAAAATAAAACTGTAATTTAAACGATTAGATAAACTAGTATGGCAAATACGAACTAACTTTTCATTAACTTACAAGTAAAGTTACAATTTCTTCTATCAACTTTTTATTTTTATATAGAGTAGTTTTAATTTTAAGCATTTATAATGCACAGCTGGGTAGGTTTAAGGTAGAACAATACAAAAACAACCGAAAACGAAAATTCTTTGTTAGCTTTGAATAATCATAATGCTACATACATTCAAGGGATAATAATTTTACAACATATCAAACAAAAATACTTTTAAAGCCTTTTAAAAAGTCAAGCAAAAATGTTGCACTTGGGAGTTTATCACGAGATTCTCTTATGTTTTAAACACGTATTTAACAAATGCTTCTTTTACGCGCATTATTTACTGCTTTTTCGGGAGAAAATGAGCGAAATAATAATAATTGTGAAAATTGGGACTGACAATTGCAAAATTGTTTTGAACTTTACGAGGACATTGCAGTGAACGAAAACAACACAAAAAATTACCGGTTATACGCAAGTATATCTGTGCAGTATATTAGGGTGTTCAGCAATCAAAGGAAGATAACTTACGATTCTTTGAATGGAATCTATGAACTTTATTTTATCTAACACATAAAAAGGAAGTTTGTGACGACAGTTTATTTCTCGTCAAAGTAGAGTTTGAATGCACAAATCTTACCTATAGCGTCTTTAACAAAACTCCAACTGCTCCAGGATAAGGACGAAGCACTGCTGATGATCATACACACCACAATGATGTTTGCAAATATAAAATATTTTGCCATCTTTTTTACAGGTCATCTAGTATTGTCGCAACTACTCTTAGTAATGAAATATAATCAAAATGCAATTGATATAAATCCCTTGTTCACTGACGTAAGCTACTACAGCCAGAACTGGGTCCCATTCCTCTGGCTTTTTTCTGTAACGCTGACATTTGATAAACAATTCTTATTTTTCTTTTGTCAAATGATACTTGCCAAAGAGTAATTTTACAACATAAATGCATGAAAATTGATGTCCTGTAAAGTAAGCTTTTGCAAAAATAAATTTATTTGAATAGAGAGCACTTGTTCCAAGGTTTCTTGTGCGACAATTTGCTTACAGTAGTAGAATATGCACACGAGAGAAACCGAAAAGATAAATCGCAAAATAATCTCTTTATATTACTCCAGACTATACATTTTTACATATGTTATTCGAAACCACCTTGAATGACTTTCGCGAAGTGGCTTGGCGAATGTAAAATTCCTTATTTGCCCCATGAACTTGAATCAACAATATAAAACACAAATGTAGTCAAATATCGCTGCTTGAAAGAAGCTTGTGATCAGAATCGCCACATGATCGTTATGAGAGCTTTATCAAAATTTTCATCTGTAAAATATGCTATCTTGCTGTCTATTTTTTGCATTAGATAATGAACTGCAAAACGAGTACAAATCAATATCCTTTAGGCAAAACATATAAAAATATATTTTATTTTAGTGATAATTTCAACATCTGAGTAATTAAATTAATTAAGAATACATTGACTGTCTATATATTCCCAAATTAATTCCAATCATGCAATAACCTGATTATTGTTAATAATTCTGACTGTACCATATATCTCCAAAAGTAATTTAGTAAAACAAAGTGCTCTATAAAGGGATAGAAAATAATCATGAATGTTATTATAGGAAAAGAACTCAAATAATTAATTAATAATTAATAATTTTTCATAAAAACATGTTGAAGCACGGAATAAAACAGACAAATTTTACTTTTTAATACCGTAATTACCAAAATGTTTTTGTGTTTTGGGGAATACTTCATGATGATTTTTATGATTGCAAGATCAAAAGTCGGGATTGTTTTGAATATTACTTTGTAATACGACTTTGTGAAATCTTGTTAGGTGAATGTAGTAAAGAGAATTCTAGTTAGGTGAATTCTAGTTACGTGAATTATAGTTAGGTGAATTCTAATTAGGTGAATTATAGTTAGGTGAATTCTAATTAGATTAATTATAGTACAGAGAATTCTAGTTAGGTGAATTCTAGTTACGTGAATTATAGTTAGGTGAATTCTAATTAGGTGAATTATAGTTAGGTGAATTCTAATTAGGTGAATTATAGTTAGGTGAATTCTAATTAGGTGAATTGTAGTAAAGAGAATTCTAGTTAGGTTAAATCTTGTTAGGTAAATACGTTATTAATTCGTCTTACAAGAACAAAAGAAGTTGAGGAAAACATGGTATTACATAATTCATCATCTGATAAAAATTCAACACAAGAATGAGTGTGGTTTTATAACAAACAAGATGCTACAAAGGCAAGTATGTCAATACTTCAACGCACCCAATTCTCATTTAAGTATAAATACTATTTGGCATCTTTGACAAAACTCTTTCAGTTGAATTTATTACAATTCAACCAATTTTAATATTTACCTGGAACATTTAACCCAGTATGGATGCTGCTCCATTTTTTCGTTGCCATTTCCTTGCTATTTTTCGGAATTTAGAGAAACGCTTTGGCATTCTTCGAGGAAAAGTGGGGAATGACGTGGCCATGTCTTAAAACTTGGAGGAACGATGTCGTGATTGTCCTGAAAACTTAGGATACTTTTGGTACTTGTTCGGCCATTTAAATCCAGGTGACTTTGAGTTTGGTGACAGATTTGCACGTCCAAAACAAGATTCTATAGAAAAATAGCAAAAAGTTTCAATTCAAGAATTACCATACGACAATTCAAAGACGCCAAATATTTTAAAAAACATCACTTACTACAGGTCAGTAAAACGTTTAGGAGATAAGGAATGAGTGACAAAAAAGTTGTTTGTTTGAAACATGCATATATATTTGCAATAAATGAAAATTTGTAGACGGTTTAAAGATTTAAACTACAAAACAAAGTTTTTTCGACGCTAAATCTCCATAAAAATCAGTAAATAATAGCTACGTGTCCAAAAATTAAAAAATTAAACAAGACTTATCTGTGAATTGAAGTTTTCATTGTATTTCTGTGAGTTACTGAACAAGGAAGTTAAGGAGTCACGTGATTCCTTAGTGGGTAGTCGAATTACAAAAAGAATAGGTTTTATAGGTCAATATAATTATTTTAAGCTTGTCTCTTTAGTCATTGCAATGAAATCTACAAGCATGACGAAAAACCTACGACATAACCATTATCGAAACAAAGACGACAAACATAACCACGTTCTTCATATTATTTAAACTATAATGCTAAATGTTGGTTCCACGAGGCGATTATAAACACACAAAAAATTGGAAACGGGAATCTTGATGTCACATAGTCCAACTCATATCATAATTTCAAAATTGTCATGAGTTTTTCTTAGCCTGCCTAATAGGGGGGGGGGGTATGGAGGGATTTGTCTCTTGGCAATAACCTAACCGATTTTAAAAAGGATCTTCAAGTAAGGGGATCGGCAAAATACAATCGTACCCATTTAAAATTATGGCTGCATCGCGTGATTGTTTACCATAATCTATTTACAATAATCTATTCACAAACCTTCAGCTGTGAAAAGAGCCCAGATCCCATTTGTTTTAAGCTTGAAACGAATGGAACACCTTGTATCTAAAAAAAAACATGAACACAAAAAGTGCGATGCTGTTTTTACTCCCGCAATACATGCAGTGTAAATTTTGATGTCTCAAATTTAAAATACGAATGAAACGAATGGAACGCTTTGTATCTAAGAAAAACATGAACACAAAAAGTGCGATGCTGTTTTTACTCCCGCTATACATGCAGTGTAAATTTTGATGTCTCAAATTTAAAATACGAATTATTTCTATAGTTAATTGCATTCATTCTTTTCCCAATAAATGAACATTATTATATGCATGTGTTTTGAGAATAAAAACCAGGCTGATTTTGCTAATACATCATGGAAAAGGTCCAAATTGTAATAAGCCATGTACGTTTTGAGACATACGATTTCAGCAACAGTTTCGTTTGATCTTCATGTAAACAAAACATGATTATCATTTTCATGTTAGAATATCAATGTGTATAGTTTTGTCGTGACATATTTATTAGTATATGTACTTTCTGTTTTCAAAGATGGCAAACTCACCTTGCATTGTCTCAAGCACTGAAATTTTACGTCGTTAGGATTAAGTAATCTTAGGCGACACTTGAAACCTTTCATATTGAGGTTACATGTTTTCTGAAATATATAAACATTGCTATTTGTTCTGCATTAATGTCCTTTATACAGCCACTTGTATATCACGTATTTTTACTTTAATTACTTTAATGCAATATGAACACTGCTCTACGCAAATCTGGCTTTTCATGTAAAACAAACTAGTCAAAATAATCAAAAATACTGCTCTTCTAAATGCATCTGAACAAACCAATTTTATGGTAATTTTAAACATTTTATTTTCATTGATCATAGTTGGTAGTACAGCCGGGCTGATACAAAAGTATTAAGGTATTAAAATTTAAGCATTGTGTAAAGAAAAATAGTATTAGATAAAATTGTATTAGTTTTGTGAGGGAGTTCTTGGTTTCTACCCAAAGAGTTTGTTTTAAATCTAAAAGACTGTCTAGCATTTACTTTTTTCTTTAAAACAATGAATGAAATAAAAAGATTGTTGCAGCCATTGTATGTATGAACACAGAGATCATTTTTAGTGTTCCTAAAAGTGTTTATAAACAAAAGTGCTTAAGACAAAATGCTTTCACTTTGGTGAAAATAGACCAGAACGATTGAGAAAACTTAAAAATACCTCATGAAGAACAACCCGATATCACATACCAAAGATTGTACATTTACAATAAAATACGAGATATTTTAATACATACTTACCATACACTTGAAAAATTTGTTGAACTTTTCAAATGTTGGTCCTATAAAACATAAAAATTTGAAACAACAACATCAAGACGACCATACATTTGAAAAATAAACATACCTTGCAGTTCTTGGTGCATGATACCAAAACATCAAAACACTTGTACACTCCTCCGCTGCTTTCCAAGCATTCGGCAAATGCTTCTCCGCATTTTTTCTATTTTATAAAATAAACTTAAAATCAGCCCTTTTTTCCTTTGGCATGTATACTTGCGTGGTCATTGAAAAGAGGGAAACTCTTAACTAGTGGTAATACGCGGCTTATGAAAGAAAGAATATATTTAAAAACTAGCTAATTGTTCAAAAATTAAAACCACGTTACTGATGCTAATCCCACGAGTGCATAAACATGGACAATTTAATCAAATTTCATGCGTTTTCAACTATGTTAGAAATAATATTGAGTTACCAGGATGTGTCTCAATAAATTTGAGTAATTTTACTCACCTTGCATTCGACAGCTTTGCTTATATTTGGTAAATGTTTCTTCTAAAAAATAATTATAGACAATCAAAACTACATTGTCACTCTACATAACCATACAACGTTATTCTTACCTTGCATTTCATGAAACATGATTCATACGTTTTATAGCATGTGTCTTTATCTTTGCTGCTCTTCAAGCATTTAATAAACGATTCTGTGCAATCTACCTGTTTGATGAAACAAATTTTTAAAATCAGCCAACTTTTTCATTTCATGTTGTCTTACATACATAGACTTTTTGCTGCAGAAATGATTTTAGAACATCAACTCAGACCTTTATTAGCACGAAAAATATGGATTATTAAAAGTTTGAATCGAAATACTCAAAATTTATCATTTGAAGTTTAAAAAACCAACCACTTCCCTTTCAATTATGTTATGTTACTAGCAAAAATAAAAAGGCATTTATAACCATGTGAAGCTGGTCAGTTGGTTGTCGTTTAGTTTTTTGTCATTTTTTGTAGTCGGAACAGATTTACAAGAATAGCTTTCGTGGCTCTCATGGCTTAAAGATACTTTTGTTAAATCAAGCTCATAAAATAGATACTTGTTTACAAGTCATCGTAATTTCAAATTAACAGCAGTAAAATGAGATTAGAATTAGGTTGATTGCACATTATTTTACAATTGTAAATGAAAAATTTGAACAAATTGAAGCAGAATTTGTTATTTGGGAGCACTAACCATACATTCTTTGAATGGCGAAACGGAACTCATGGGATAAGAATCGCTCTAAAATTTTAACGAAATTTGTCCGTTATTTGTAAATTGATAAAGACATCCTTAATTAAATTTTTCCATGTGTGTATGAATAGTTACCTTGCATTTCATGACGCAAAAAGGCATCTTTTGAAAACACGTAGAGAAATCTTCCGTACTATTTAAGCAGTTTATCAATTCATCGGTACAGTTATGCTGTTGAAAATAAATGCGAATTATAAATCACTATAAAGTCTAGTAAGTGTTTACAAAGACTTCAAAACAAAAGAATACTTTCGATTTTTAAATACAATTTAAACGTTTTTAACTTTTAAATTAGTATACAAATGCTTAGCGGTGATGGGAATCTTCTGATTGCTTGACTCAAACATTTCAGATCATCAACAACAAACAACATTGTTATTTTAGCAAATTTACCGAAGTAATAACTTACCATACAAGTCATGCCAAGAGTGTTGTTCGCAGTGAAGTTCTAGAAATACGGATGGTAAAAAAACTAAAGATGGTAAATCTGTAAATGAACCATAATCCAGGTCTACACTCGTGACGTCACTTTTGAAGCTCAGTATTACTGTGGCTTACAGAATCACATTCAAGACCAATTTTTTAAGCTTAAGATGGATGGTTGAGATAAAAATTGCAAACACAAATAATACTTCTCGAATCCGTGCCATTAAAAATGGAAATAAAGTTTAGCAACTGTATAATTATTGTGGTGAAAGTTGAAATTAGAACAATAGCATTAACGAAAGCTTTCACTAACTCGTAAGAATTTGTTTTCTTTTCGCACTAAATCCTTTGGATACGAGCATATTTCATAAAAACGGCTATCGGGCTTGGGTCACAAAAGTCCGTGGTGAAAATAAAAGATGACATAGCGAGAGCATAACAGAGCAAAATATGAAAGTTTCAGCTGACAGGTAGTTTTAAAAATTGGTTGTAATTCATCGGTTTTTCTCAGAATTTTAGCTAAAAGGTCCTTATGAATATTATCGTTTTTGGTACATGACTTATGTACTGCCATTTTTTATAAAATGCTCATATACCAAACCATAGTGAGTCAAATCTTGTGAGACATTATTAGCAAAAAAAACATTTCATATTATTCATGCTATGAGCTTAACTCTGTTGATTTGCCATTACCAACCTGCCGACAATCATTTATGCAGAGTTTAGCTTGCTCCACATTCTTTAGGAGATCCTTGCGTCATAATGCACTGCGACACAGACATAAAGCATTTTTCTGAAAGACATATTATTTCTATTGATTTGGCCTCAAACAATTTCATATCTTTTCATAAATACTTGATACACATCTTTTTGGATGCATTGAGAATGGATAATGCTCCTGTAAAGAAAAAGATTTGAAAACTTTCATTTCTACTTACACGAAGTATATGTTATGCAAGTTATATTAAAAAAATATTTCATGTTTTTATTAGTCATTAGGCGGAATTTAAGCCACGTTTCAGCCTCAGAACTATGAAAATGACCACCACTAAAGTCATCCAAACTCATAAGTCAACAGCAAAAGTCTTTCTCAGAACTCTCAGAACTATGAACATGACTACACTAAGGTTGTCCAAACTCATAAGTCAACACCAAAAGTCTTTCTCAGAACTTCACTAATGAAATTGAATAACATCTACAAGCATGTAACAATATACTTTTATAAAAGTGTCTCATGTGACTAATACACAGTTATGCACAGTCTTTTCCTGAGCACTCAAAGATCATGCTTTCCTACACCTAATTATCAAAACTAAAATGATTTTTTAGTTTTGCTTTACCTTATCTAAAGCTAATAATATAGGGAAATGTTTGCCTTTTTATTTTTCTCAAACATACCAGAGTAAAATATGAAATATTATCTGTCTGATTACTCGTTATTAAATTTGAATTTCCGACAATTGTTTGAAAAATGCTCTTACAGAATTTATTTGAACTAACCTTTCTTTTTATGTCTTCATACACGTTACAAGAGAATTATAGTATTTGCCGACTTCACCTTTCGTTATATACTTCATGGCTGTGTCCCTGCATTTCTGTATGATAAACAAAGACGAATCCACGTATTCAGTTAATTTCCGGAGTATCAATCTTCCCATAATATATTATTTGGCCATTGTATATTTAACATTGATAATAAAGTTTATATTTATAAAGTTCATTTGAATGTAATTTAGAGTTAACTTAATGTTGACGTTATGAAATAACAAAGTTCTGTAGCTATAAAAGTTATCTGTTGTTGTTAAAAAGTAAGCTACTTGTTCCTAGTCTTATCGTGTGAAAGTACGCAAAAATGCACGACTTCGATAATTGAAAAACTGTTGAGATTATGTAAAAGTTGTGTTGTGATACTGTAATACAATTATAGCACCACTATTATATTAAAGCATCACTTTTCTAATACAATCTTACGTTTTCTCCTTTACTATTATATAATTAATGACATATAAAGTACAACTTAGACATAAAAACAATGGGAAGAATTTAAGAGTGCTCCAAAATCTTCGAGAGTGCTGGCTGAGAAAAATACATTTATATTATTTTCCATTTCATTATCTCGTCATTTTGAAATATTTTAAAATATTGAAAAGAAAACTTTTCAACCATAATAGCGAACTGGCAAAACGCAAAGTGAAATAGCAAAGATATGGAAATATAGGAAATCTGAATAAAACCTTTGAGCACTTTGCCTTTTCATACTCATCGTCATCTTTTTCTTTATAACCAACCGTAACATTAAATGAATCTATCGTATCTTTCACAAGAGTATTCACTTCATCTGTATCCACACTAGTACCCATTCCACCATTAATAGGTTCATCTTCATCGTCATCAAAATCATCCTAAATGATTAAAACAGTTATCTTCATCAAAATCATGTCACTTTTATCCTATTTTAGAGGAAAGATAAAAATCCCAAATCCATCTTTTATAGTCAATATACCATATCCTCATCCTTGTAAAATAATGACACAACTCACAGCACTATAGGGAGCAATAGGGATAAATGACACTCTTGCTGGCAAAATGGATAAAAGGAAGGGAAGAATATGGATAAAGCAACAATATTGGAAGCAATAGGGTATACTAAGAATACCTCTTATTGAAGTGTCAATAAAATGGGAAACGTTTTAAAATGGCATGTAAATTACATCAAAATTAACATTCATCTCGGTTGTCAAGGTCACGCGCAAGTTGTCAAAAATGTTTGCTATGCAGTTTGTTTGGATTTTTCTGTCCAATTTTCTAAAGTTTCATTGTAAATGAAATATTGAGAACGGTGTATTAAATGACTGTAATTCAAAGTAAACAAAGCAATTTTTGGCGGATACTTTATGGTCAGGTAAACTGTTTACAAAATACAAAGAAGGAACACTAATGCGATTAATTTGTTAAAAGGAAAGAAATACAAATGGCATTCAACCCATGATTATTTTTATATTCTTCATTATACAATAAATTTCGCTTCATGTCAAAGTAATTTTTCGATGTGGCATAAGTTTCTTGAATGTACTAATCAAATCTTAACCTTGGACTAAAATAGTACTTAAGACTTGTACATACTTTGTGATCTTTTCGACTTATGTTGCGTGATGTCTATGTGTGAGATGTAATTCAATACACGCATGCAGAATGTGAATATGGATAGATTACATATTGGTTGTCGTCTGCAAATAGGTCTTCCATAGAGTTTTATCTGTAATGTTACACCTATGAAGCAAGTAGATTTCATCCTTTCTTTTTGTTTGTACAAACGTTTTGTGTGTTTTTCACACAAAAAAAAGTACGTTATGTGAATTTTTTTATTGTCACCTATTTATTGACACGTAACATATAGTGTCAATTTGCGCGCATGTAAAATTGTCTATCAAAATTGATAAATATTGTAAAAGTACATTCATGCATTTGCATATATGTACATGAGTCGAAAAAGCAGAAATTGAACCTTCCTAAACACTTTGAAATTATCGAAATGGCGTACTATATTTCTAAAATTTATAATAGCGCGATGATGAGAAAGAATTGATTTGATGTTTACCATTCCATCATAAAAATACTTGAGTCTTGAAATACATAATCGTTTTGATAAAAAATGGCTTTTGAATAGAAAGATGAACAGTTTGATAATGTTTTCTTGAATATTTGCCGTAAAGATTTTCATTATCTTTATATAACAGTGCATTAAAAGTTACTTTAGTACGCGAGTCAATACATTAAAATAAAACCTTGATATAAATAGTATATCAAAACATTATATATTTTATAATAACAGTTGTTCTAACTGGTCAATCTGGCAATACGTCATGAACGATTTTTGATTTTTTACCTCGATCTCTTCTGTCGTTGGTTCAACAGTTACATATTTTAGAGATAGAACATTTGCAGTGAGAAGAACGCAACCAAAAATCACTAAAAGAGCAAAGGTCCTCATGATTTCGTGATATCGGAACCAGTATGACTAAAGAAAATGAATTTGACCGAGATTTT